AAGAACTACCTATATATTTAGTAAATCGTACTTAAATAGATATTCATAATTACTATAAAAATTTAGAGCAGTAGAATAACGATAAGTAGGAAGGTTAAGTTTTACGATAAAATCATAAAAATTATCACAAAAAAATTACAGTTGCTGTAATTTTTGAACAGTTGAGAAGATAAGATGGTAAAATAATGTATATTCTTGAATCAAAATGAATCCTTAATAACTAGATAACTGCCCCGCGACTTTTTCGTAGAATGAAGAGATAGGGGAGACTTTTAAAATGAAGATAAAAACGTGCAAAAAAAAAATCCTTTTTTTTTTTCAAAATCAGCGATGATTGAGCACTGATATTAATGAAAATTTTATCAGCTTTTATTTTGTATAGAAACTCTTTATCCCTACAATAAATAATTACCCTCGTATAAGCGAAAACCAAAAAAAGCTATCTTCTGGGCGCTTCCTCCCACATCCGGCAAACCTTAGGAGCGGTGACTTTTAGTATAACTATCACCTGACTACAAAGTCACAAAGTCAAAATCTGTGTCCCTTCCATTACCTATACTTCCTTTTTGAGCATTCATTGATTGGACTAATTGGAATATTTCAATGAATATTTAGGCAATAAGAAAATAGGACTCTTTAGCTTTTCTGTAACTGATACGAATTCTGAGCCCTTAGCTAAACTTTTGCCTGATTTTCATTACCTGCTAAGTTCTTCTTCAGCCATCTGCCGATAAAGGGACTGGCTTTTCTAAGGTTTGGTTTGCCCTGGTATCTAGAATATCCTCTTATTGTTTATCCTTCTCATATCTTTCTAAAAAGTTTATTTCATAAAAAATCTCAGTCTTTCCATCCTGTATAGTTGAATTAATAGAGCACACAAGATTCAAAATCAACTGTTTGCAATATATATGTAATATTATAGTAAGAGAAAATACTTAGATCGCGAAAATTTTCGAATCCGAGTTTTTAACGCAAATACATTGAGGTCCCCTGAGTCTACATAACCAAGTCCCGCAAAATGATCTGGGTGTGAGAGCAGTCTAGCTCAAAAAAGAAAAGTCGCAGGAAACTAGAACTACATATTTAAGCTAGGTATAAACCTGGGATGTCACAGCAACATGTTCCTTATATCAACTAAACTGAAGTTCAACTTTATATCATCGATTTTACAATTTTCTCAACAACGTTGATTAAACTCAGTGTATCAATGGATAATTAAATGGTGTTTATCCCATGTCTTTATCAGGTCTTACCCCCATTGATGTTGGTTAAAAGACCTTAAATGCCCAATGTTATATAGAAAATCGTGAAAGGTAATTGAGAGTGACGAAATTATTTAATGAAAAACACATGTTTCCAAGGAAATTAAATGAAATTTTCTAACCAATTGTAAACTTTTAATTGCTTCTGTTCTTCTTTTGATAGGAAGTTGTTTAAATTATTTAGTTGTCGGTAATAAAAACTTCCATGATATAACAAATTATGTATTTGTTATGATTTACTTTAGGTAGTAAATACTTCATTAGTAGTTAATAGCTAGAGGAATATGTGTTACGGTTTCTATCAATGTTAATGTTGTTAAAAATTTGTTATATTTAAATACCTAAATAAGGGTGCTCCTTTATCATAATTTAATTTTTTTTAATCCTCTTCCTGGCATTTTTGCCATACGGGGTTTCAGCAGTGCGTTGATATGTTGGGAATACGTACCTCTGCTGCTGCCAATCCTCTTAATAATAATACTCTTCATTTTATTTTTACTGCGGTGCGGCCTGGTGCGCCTTACTGATGGGACCACACCTTAGTCTCCAGCTGGTTGCGCATCTTGCCCTCCTGGGTAGTTTCCTCCAACAGTTTGATGCTGCCTCTTCCTTATGGCCTGCTCGTGGAAATCATCTCCCTATTGAGAAGTGCGTAGGTTCCACCTTTTGTCTCCATTTTCTCACGAACTTCACGAAGTGGGGGTATTTATCCTCTTCCATCAGTCGAGGAAGGTACTCTTCGTCTAGGGCGTACAGTCCCATCCTCTACATCAATATGCCTCTGGCTTGCTCCATTGCGGTGCATGATATAACCACATGCTCAGCCGTATCAGGGGCACCGCAGTCGGGACATGAGGGGTCGATGTTCTTCCCATGCTTCCTGAGTTTGTCTCTAAACCCCCCATGTCCCGTCAGGATCTGTGAGGTCCAGTAGTCCGGTTCGACCCAATGTGCTTCCAATCTGGAATGAACTGTGGGGAAGTACTTTCTCAAGGTGGCTCCATTATAGTCCTGTAAAATTAGGGATTGGCCCCAAGGTTGTCAGAAATTGTTTATTACCTTTACCTTAATAATTGACAAAAAGAGTCCCAAAGAATCAAAATCCAAGAGTTAATGGGGTTCCCCGTTACCAATGCTAAATCTCGTCACCTTAGCCAGATAGGAATAAAGTTTTGAAGATGAGAATTGAATCCCAAAACGTTAACTTAAAGTAAATGATAACAAATACATAATTTGTCACATTATGGAATTTTTTATTGCCAACAAATAAAAAAGTAAACTTTTACAATTATTTTTAAGTTTGGAAAAAATATATATAATTTTTGGAAATATATAAAATCCACCGAATCAAGGCAGTTTGCATTTGCTGATGACATTATGCTAATAGCTGACAGTAAAGAAAAGCTACAAGCAAATTTAGATGTCTGGACAGAAGAGTTAGCAAAAAGAAATTTGGTCATAAGCACTTCCAAGACCAAATGTATGCTATTGTCCAGAAACAAAAAGAATTTTGAGATTAGTATTAATGAGATTCCTATAGAGCAGGTTCAAATATTTGGGTGTGATGATCAGCAAGGGAAAATCAGAGGAGAAATTGATACTAGAGTTGCCACTTCGGGAAGAATGTTGTCTGCCATTAATAGGAAGTTTATAAGTAAGAGATAAGTGGCAAAAGAAACAAAATTAGTTGTCTATTGCTCGACATCCGTCACTTATGGAAGCGAATCCTGGGCACTAAAGCAACGTGATCGCAGTCGCCTTCAAAGCATGGAAATGAGGTATCTGAGGAAAATAGAGGAAAAGACCATGAGAGGCTGGATGGGTAACACAACGGTACGGAATACACTCAAAATTGAACTCCTCAACCCAATAATAGAGAAAGGGCAGCTTCCATGGTTTGGTCATGTCATGAGGATGGATGACTTCACTGCCATTCAGTGAAGAAAACTATGAAAGCTAAACCAGAGAAAAAACGACCTATAGGAAGACCAATAATTACTTTGAAAGATAATCTCAAAAATATTCTTAAAGTTAAAGGAATTGGTTGGTTGGAAGCCAGGAGAGCACCTCTCAACAGAGATTAATGGAATTCCTTGTACGAAAATCTCTACACCGAAAGATAGAAGAGATTATTGAATAAGAAGAAGAATCAAAGCAAAGACATTGTTAAAATAACTATTTCATTGTTCTGGTGTGAAAGAAGTGAAATATAAAATTATTTCATGGACCTGTAAAACAAAGGTTTATAACCTTAAATGCATTTACTGTAGTTTAATAACACCAGATTCGATTTATTATGTTTAAATAATTAGGCATCTTTCGAAAATTCAAGTAACATGTTAGAAAATTAAATTAGTGAATAATTTGATGCATTTTCACTTTTCTGAAATCACATAATCCACTTACAATTAGTGTGATAACTTTTGACCTATCAACAGTAGATAATAAAAATCTTGTTACACCATTTAAGTAAACTTTACTATGAAAAAATAAGAGTTTAAAAACTAATGGTAGTACAAACCATAATCATTTATTGGTTAAATATACAGACATAATTTCAAATCTCTCTAGATATATATAGCTCAGAAACTGGAGTTATGTGGTTTATAAAACAGATGGAGTTGCCAGGTTCTTATTGCCTACCATCGATATAATAAACAGGGGCTTTGTTATTTTAATAGCATTAATGAGATCTTAGCCATAAGGTTTAAGCTTTAGTTCCGTTAAAAAGGCACTTCAAAAATTTTATAAAATCCCAACATTGCCAGAAAATAATTTGTATTTTAAGTAGAGCGGTAGTGAATATTTTTGATGCGTACACCAGATTTTTTTCTTTAAATAAATTGTAGTTTATATAAACTATTTTCTTAGCTCTTGCGGTCTACTTTAATCACTTTGAATATTCCTCTTTACTTATACAACACTCTGTATAATACATATTTACAAAGTAGTTTTCTGCGGCCTAACATAGGCAAACAATGCTTTATTATAAACCAAATAACTTCTTATTTTAAAATTTCAAATCTCCTTAAATTGGTGATTTTTTATGCCGGAAATTGCAAATTTTTATTTTGAGCCTACCAGTGAATTTCAGCGGCCTAAAAAAGGCAGAAAACATTATATCTTCCTTTTATCATACATATTCTGTTATATTATAATTTTATAAATATTATGGTTGGTAAAAATATTATCCTAAAGTTGCAATTTTTTAGATTAAGTCTACCAAAGGATAGCTACAATATAGAAACAGCATCTAGCCTATGACGAGGGATATTTTCGGCAAATTTGGTCCGATTTGCATGATCAACATTTTTTAATGTAGCGGTTTTGCAATGAAAAACGAAGCTTATTTTAGTTAAAATTGTATACACTTTCATAATTTACATAGAAATATTCGCATGCGATGAGGTCTATTTTTTGGTCCTTGCTCCAGGCCTAACATGCTTGTCTCAACAAATTTATTAAATTTCAATAGATAAAACTTGCTTATGGAGTCATTTTAAAAAATGTTAATAGATTAATAAAAATAGATCAAATGCTTGTCTCAACAAATTGATTAAACTTGCTTATGGAGTCATTTTTAAAAGAAGTTAACAGATTAATAAGAAAATATTTAATTTACTGATAAGCATATGAATATTCTATATATATATATATATATTTTTTTTTTTACTACTCTATGTAGATAAGACTATTTGTGAAATGATAAGGAAGATTAATTATATTAATATTTTTCAGGTTTTCCACATCTGTGATGGAGGAAGAAAAATATCATTCTTATGCCCCAACGGAACCATATTTCGTCAAAGTCATTTGATATGTGACTGGTGGTTTAGAGTGGACTGTGAACGATCCGTTGAACTTTATGAAGAGAGTGCAGAACAGCTTGCCCATGACCAAATGATCTATAAGAAAAGAGCAGAAGAGATTGCTAAGGCCATAACTGTAAGGACCACTTCAGAAGCACCAAGAGTGACCAGCAGCACCCAGCAAAGGCAGTACAGAAGAAAACCTCAACAGAGGACACAACCGCAACTTCAACAAAGAACACATTCTCAACCTCAACAAAGGACACAGTCAAGGCTGCAATCACAATATCAGCCTCAACAATCTCAATATCAACCTCAGTCAGTTGTTCAGGAACCTAAATATCAAACTCAGCCAGTTACTCAACAACCTCAGTATCAATCTCCACGAGTTACACAACAACCTCGATATCAACAACCACAGACTCAACAACCTCAGTATCAACAGCCCCAGACCCAACAACCTCAATATCAACAGCCACTGACTCAACAACCTCAATATCAACAGCCAGAGACTCAACAACCACAATATCAACAGCCACAGACTCAACAACCACAATATCAACAGCCACAAACTCAACAACCTCAATATCATCAGCCACAGACTCAACAACCACAATATCAACAGCCACAAACTCAACAAGCTCAATATCAACAGCCACAAACTCAACAACCTCAATATCATCAGCCACAGACTCATCAATCTCAATATCAGTCTGAATCTCAGCCCCAACAAGAAGAACAGGAAAGGCAAATACCTGCAGAAACTGCTTCATTTGCAAGTAATAGGCATCGGTTCGCAAATCAACTTGAGGCTCAATATAAGCAATATGCGGCCACAACTACAACAGCTTCACCCCTTCCCACAGAGAAAAACATATACAATTATAATGGACAGCGATACCAAAAAACTTCATCGACTACAGCAAGTTATAATCCACCAAGTTTTCAAGAAATAAGCAACAATGAAGAACATAGTAAGGAAGAATACAGTAAAGAAGAATTTAGCAATGAAGAACTAATAAACAATAATTACCCAGGTAGTGTTTATTCTAGCTATAATTATACCTATCAAAATGCTGATTATTATAATAGCAAACATAATTATACTAACAACTACAACTTTTCAAGCAGCGACTATGTTGATACGTATTCACAACAAAATGGGCAGGATTATCAGCCAGAAACTAATAGGGGTACAAGCAAATACTTTGACAATAGCCAGGCTAATCAAAAAGATAGTTTGGAACCAAAGTCGAGCTATGTTTCTGAAATTCCTTATTCATCCACAACAGCTAGATCAATATCAAAAAGTGAGATTAATTCCTACAATGACCACAAACAAATACAGGACAACTTCCAGCCAGTACAATCCTCAACAAGAAACCCTTTGAAACAAAAAACCGTTTTTGATGTTAAAATCAGGCCGACTAAGGATTTTGCTTATGTTGAACTTCTCAGGCATGAAGAATATTTGAAAAATCAATCTAAAACCACGTCAGCACCTGTCTCTTACACATCTTCAAGTTTATCTCAAACAGTAAGCCATGAGACCACCCCTTCTTCCTTAAATGATGATGTTATTCCAGTATCCAGGTTTGCAACATCAACTCCACCTTCCCAACCCAGCACAAGACATACATATCTTCCTACCAAAGCAACAGAATCTTCTAAACAGTACACAACCACACCCACACCTAAAATTAATAGATATGCCTCAATTCATGTTTCAGGTACTTCAGAAGAAATAAGACCGGAAGTTGTCAATTCCTTAATGGAATCAGGAGTAACACCCACTTCAGCTAAGGCACTTCATTCATTAGCAAGCTATATCAGTTCAGCTGCTGCTGATGACTTGAGTAGCATTTATGGACAACTAGATGGACATCCACAGGTGTCAGATGTCATTCTCAATTTCCATTCTGGAACCCCAGCAACTAATTCATATCTCCAAAATGAAGTAACAACTCGATCATCGTCATCTCCTTCAGAAGAAAGTTTACCATCAGGATTAACGAAAGCTACAAAGGAATCATATTCTTATCTCTTTTCAGAAAGTAAAGAACAAACTGAAAAGAAAGGTGAGGTGCCAAATGTACCATTTTTAGAAATAGATTATACTACACAGAAACCTCAAACAATAACCCCACAAATGACTAAAGGAGGTGACAGAGATTTGAGATTAAAGGACTCAAGTGAGCTACGGGAATTGGCTCAGGTATTTAGTAGAGCACTTTCAGCTTATCTTGAAGATCCTGAAACATTTAAAGAAATACTTGCCCAAGTGAGACCTACCGAACCCAGCAATACTGATCACACCACACCATCTCCAGATGATGAAGTACTAGACTTTTCTGATGCTAATCAAGGCCAGAAAGGCATTACAAGTTCTCCATTAACAACTCTCAGTAACATTGTAGGATATACTGATGAAAATTTAAACATTGGTGATATAAATAATTTGGCCCAAGGAACTCGAACTTTTGAACCAGACAATTCATTAGAACACAATACATTTCCACCAACTGCTCCAGAAAATTATCAAGCAACTCACTTTAGTTCAGTTACACCAAGTTCTGTACAGTTAAAAGTGAACAGCATTACAAACAACACGGATCCATTAGACTACTATAGCAGACTTGGTTCAAAAGAAGACCAATCCTATTTCCCAACTGTAGGAGGAGTTAGTGATACCAGCAGACCAAGATATGGAGGTTTTCAAAACAACACCCAGAAAACAGCAAGAGCATATTCCCCATATGGCTCAGATGTTCCTAAAAATCTTACTGGGTCACCAATTTCTATAACAACCCCCGTGGTACAAACTGAAGTTCCCTTACTGTTTAGTTTGACCAATGCTTCATCAGAAAAAGAAGGACTTCCAGAACCTAAAGATGTAAATAGTCTTATAAAAATCAATGTCTTGAATTCAGATCAGTCAAGTAGTGAGGAAAATACAAATTATCAAACATCACCATCTGCATACCAAGATGACACATATTTTCCATCTGCAGACCAAGAGAAAGTTTTGATAACTGCAGGAAGTCAGTCATTAGTGTCCAGCAATAACTACCTCCAATTCGCTAAAGTATTTAATGAACAAAGTCAAAAAGAAAGAAGTAAATATTATCCAACACTCTACAACTCTAATTCATATATAAATTATGCTCCCTCTGCAGTGTCACAAGATAAATTTAATACCAAAGAAGATTACAAGAGTGAAGAATTTATTCCTTTCTTTGGTCAGGAACCTCCTTTTGAAAATCTGGCCAAACCTTCTGGATTCCAAACTACAAAAGAATCGGATAATATCAAACAAGATCAAACGCTAACTGAACAGAGTGATACATATGAGAAGCGAACTGGCATCTTTGCCGATCCAATAAACTATCATTTGGAAGCTATAAATGCTGAACTTTCAACTCCTTCATATGGTGATAAAAATAGTGAATATAAAGTTTCATATAAAAATGTTGACCTTGGTAATGGTGTGACTTTAGAAAAACTTGATTCATCAACAGAAACTCGTAAGTATGAAACAACTTGGACTGTATCACCTTTAATAGATTTGACCACTGCCAGTGGGAGCACACTTCATCACAACTATACCAGTAGCCCGGTACCATCTTCATCAGCCCACTATTCATCTCCTCATCAATATGAAGCAACAACATACCGTCCACCACGCTCAAGCGATTCTTCAGATACAGCTGAGTTCCAATGGGCAACCACTGTCCAAACAGAAAGCAACTCTGAGGAAACAGTAACTACTTCTGGTCTCACTGATTCAACAGAGACAGTGATTCCTAATGAAAATTTAGGAAGCTTTGAAAAAACAGCTATGGATATGTTTGGTAATCTTAATGAAAGTGCTGCAGTCACACTAATGGATATGATGTCTAAAGCAGAAAAAAACATGACAATACGTAGGCTTGTATTGCTTTTGGTTAATGAAAAAGGCAAAGAAAATAGAACTATTCAAGAGTCACGAGAAAACTTGATAAATGCCCTTTTAAATAATATGGAAGACATTAAAAAAGAAACTACTACTAGTGAATTACCTCCTCTTTCAGCTTCTCCATCTACACCAAATAGTGTATATATTCCTAGAAAAAAAGTTAGAGTTTCTCGAGTACGTTTAAGCACCACATCCGAACCCCCACAAAATAGTGGCAAGTTTCATCGAGGAACGGATACAATGACTGCAGTCCATGGAAGTCCATCTGATATAAATAAAATCAATTCCGCTAAGTTGTACATACCTTCACCAACAATATCAGCATATACTAACACACTTCCAATAGATTCGGATGCAAGAGCTGTGGAGCTTTTGAGGACACTCTACAGCCTTGCAGCCAAATGGGGTTAGGGCCACAATCTGAACTACTATGAGACTTAAGGTAGTAAACCAATATGATCGATTGAACTTCTACAATTGTTTCAAACAGATGCTTTGCATACAGAGAAGAATCCTTGATCATATATGGTTTATCAGCATCAAACAATTTTATGTGAAGATTATGAAAATCACAATTTTTTTTATTTGTCATTGATAAATGTACAGTTCTATGAATGTTGTTATGTTCCTTACACCTTCATACTTTTAAGAGATGTGAAATATATTGAAAAATATTGTAAATGTAGATAATCCTGTTGACAGATTTCGAGACTTTTAGTAGTGTCTATAATTACTAGTTAATATGATGAGAGCAAAAGATATTTATTATTTATAAATAAAAAAAAAAAAACTAATAAGGCTCTATTAGTATTTATTTTTTTCAGCCAAATGATTTTAGTCACTCGAAGAGAACAATATGTAAATAAAAGTGTTTTGAGGTTCTGCACAACTTTGTAATGCTCAAATGAGTTAAAGGTGTTATTAGACAGATCCAGTGAGAAAGACAAATTAAAATCTGTAATTTTCATATTTTGTTTTATGTTACTTTTAGTTATTTTTGAAAATCACAATTATTGTGTTGCCATTAATGTTTGAGTGAGCGTTTGTATAAATGATTTTATGTAGGTATTAATTTTGTAAAATTTTTATTGAATTAAATGTAAATATTTCTATTTTTTTCTTTTTTAATTAAAACTTTTCCTTTTGTCCCAAAAAATTCAGTAGTTATTAAGATAATAATCATTTATACTTTTATTTTCATTTAACTTAGCTGTTAAAAAAAAAGATTACCAAACCTTTACTTAATAAACCTAAAATTTGATAAAATGACAACTAATCTAGTTTTTAAAGATCAATCTTACAAGTAAATATAATATTTCAGGATTTAGAGTTTTAAAAGATCAATAAAATATACAGTAAACTGGACAGCTCAATGAAAATGTATTTTCAGTTCTATCAGTCATGAAGCAATATTGAAATGAGACACATCAAACATCTTCAAAGTGATTCTTCAAGTCTGTAAATTTTTACAAAAATTTTATTGAAAAAAACAAATTAATAAATATAAATGCATATATTAGGAGAGATATTCAGAAATAAGAGGTAATAAAATTGTATTAAAATACCATAAATAGAGAACTATAATTTGATAACTCATTGACCATACAGTTGGATATTTATTAAAAAAGATAAACACAAGTACATAAAAACAATAAGATTTAATCAAGACATGATTAATTTTTTACAAAAACAACATTTACTACTGTTCAATAACACCCACTCCATTATAAATAAATTACAACTCTAATTTTAAAAGATTGAAAATCTAATTCTAGGTTTAAAATGTCTATCCTTCCATAATACAATTCAGAACCATCCTAATCCTCTCTTTTCTAAACTACCTTCCTCCTCAACCTCTGATAACCTCCAGAGGCGTCCGAAAAGAAGATGGCCTTGTGACATCCTAATTTAGATACTTTTTTAGAGTGCTACCAATGGGTTGATTCTCAACAAGCCTTGTCATGCCATTCTGTTTCGCTTATATCATTTTACTGAATGTTTATTTATTTTTATAGAGTTATGAATTTCATGAATATAAAAAAGATTAAAATTTGATATTTTAAGTTTAATTAATTAGAAAAATAAATTTTAACTTTTTATGTAGAATCACATTTTATCAATGTATCAATCATAGGTGCAAACTTTCCATTCTTATATACAATTATGGTTGCATTTACAGGTGGAGTAAAGAATATTGTTATATTCTCATGAAAGTAGATATAAATTTTCTCAATTACTACGCACCTATTAATAAAATTTAAAATAGAAATAATAAAGAATATTGTCCCATTCACATAACCTTAAGAGTAAATACTGTTATTAGTTATTAAACACTCTTTGAACAGTGTATTTTTCCTTATAACTGTGTATTTTCAGCATGGCAGTATTTTTCCTTTAAAATCGTTAACATTATTTGGTTTTTCCGTGATGAAAATACCACCTATTTCCAAGGGAGCCCGGGCGGGGAAACAGGTATATAGTATGTCTGGTGACATAGCATCCATTATTGGACATGGACATGTTCATGGACTTCGGAAACTATTGATTTTTGCAATTTAATATCTATTATTAATTTATATAAAAAAAAAATTGATAAATAAAGAAGAAAATCTTATCATAATTTTGTGTGAATATAACAGTGTTCATTATCACTCCTGTAAATACAAGCGTATGCATTTTTATAGGTATGTATCTTAATGCAAATACAATTCAGAACAGTAAATGTGCCAAAATTTTGATATTTAATTAAGTCTATTTATAAATACCTTTATGTGAATATAACAATATTCTTCACCATACCTGCAATTGCTATTGCAATACTGTAATACAAATGTTCGTATTTACATGATTGAATAAGATAGTGAACACACGTATTTAGACTTGTAAATTAGAAAGAAAATGAATATTTTCTGAATAAAGAATATTCATCCATAATTATTTGTGAATATAACAATATTCTATATCACATATTTAAATACAATTATTGGGGAATGAGGAGACAATTTAGCCCAATGATGTTTAAAAATGGATTTTAATTGGTCTGCCGTTTATATCAGGCAGATCGGAAGGAAACTAAAAAAATCTTGTGCGTTGCGCGCATCACACAACTTTCACTTATCACAAACGCTCTTCTTAGCAGAAATATGTATTTTCAGACAAAGGAGAAGGGAAAGCAAAAATTATAGATGCTATATTTATTTATATTTCATTGTGGGTATTTATATTTGTATAAGAACTCTTATATATACAAATTTTAATATTTATATCATTGTTATCTATTCAATTAAATATTAAATAACACCAACAATCGCATTTATGAAAACCGCTTATGTATATTTATATAATATTGTCAGAGTTCGTATTATATTAAACTCTTGTTACGTATAAAACCATGTTTTAATCTTTTGGGTGAGCTCATATTTCTTTGGTTCCTCAATTACAACTATTCTCTGTTACGATCTCTACAATCTCTCCTTTAGTTAATTATCAAATTCTTTCATATTTAACTATTTTTTATATTATTGATTAATGTGAAATGGTTCATTATTTCAAATAAAAAATATTGAAGGTACTTTAGAGGAAGCTAATATTTAAAATTTGCCATTTAAGTCCTGTTAGAGAACATCAATCAGAACTAAAACTACATTTTATTTTAAACTGTTTAATTTTACACTTATATAATGAGTTTAATCAAAATTGTTAGAGCCGGTGAGAAAATTGTAAAAATGTGTTTAGTCCATGATATAAAGTGCCACTTCCCATTAGCCAATTTTGACATTAAAGTTGATGTAACATTCCTAGTATATAAAAACCTTAAATATGCAATTTCACTTTCGTACAACTTTCATTTTTGAGCTACAATGTTAACACACACGCACGCACGCACACATGCACGCACGCACGTACGCACAAACGTTATTTGGTTATTTAGATTCAGGGGACCTCAAAACGTGTATTTGCATTGGAAAATAAGATTCGAAAATTTTCACGATCGCAATACTTTCCTTTACTATATATTTAATATATAAGAAAGTGAAAATAAAAACGAATTAAAGAACATTTGCATGGATCATGGCATGCATCTCATTTCAAGGACCATTTAGAAATTTCTTCCTACCCGTATAAAAATAGTACCGTAAAAGTCATACACACTGTGTCTAAAGTGAAAGAAAATGGATTATCTTAAGAATGTAGAAATCTATAAAAAAAAAAAAGTAAAAATAGTGTATTTTTCCTAAAATAAGGTATTTTTCTTGAATGTCAATAATATTCAATTTGAGGATTCTGCAATCATTAAATTAGTAGTAGCTATCGAAAACAAGACATAGAGAAGATGGGAAGGTATTTAAGCAATAGTTTTATTTTAATTTTTATCCTTCATCCGACAAGCAGGAGAGGAGGACCATCATAAATTACGTGATAATTAGATTTTATTTAATGTATTTGATTGTTGTTGTCATTAATTTTATAGATTGTTTAGTAAATTTTGCTTTTTATTGTTGTTGTTAATTTTTATATCTTATTTATCCCGATGAAGGATCGAAACCATTAGTATATACAGGAAGAAATATTTTTATTGAATTTTATTTCTCTCCAGTAACATCAAACCTCAATTCATGAAAAAAAAAACACAAAAAGGAAGTTATATTACCTACGACAATAAAACTTCCATCATTAGAAACATATTACCAGTTGCTGAGCTTGTTTGTTTTGGCAACTGTAAATCAAAAATATTATGTATAACTCTAGTAAAGAAAAATCTTGTTTATCACAACAAAATATAACAAGAATCATGAAGGAAATAATAAAAATCTTATTTATCATAAAAGGAGCACAAAAAAAAAACATTTAAAAGTAAAATATTTTTATACATTTCCCAGAGTTTTCCTGTACATGAGAAATTCCGGTACAATTCCCAATTATCGGGTAATTCCTTGTCGCTGGACACCTTGAAAGAACCATTTATCGGCATACTGGCATACCTTTCGTTTATGTTCATACTTGGTTGCTTCCAATGAGAACGTAAATTCCGGTTGCTCCAAGTTAAACTCATTGAATCTTGATAAATTCAGATAGAAAAGTCGCTTTCTCAATAAAAAAAATAATACTTATCTGGATAAAACAAGGTTGTGAGGCTGATATATTGGTCTTTGCGCAAATTTATGTTGATGCAGATCCGTTGATGTTTGATTGACATATATATTTTCAATAAAAATAATATTCAATGTGAAAGAGACCGATATATCGGTAAAGTAAAAGTCAGTCTTTAGGATATCCATATCTGATGAAAATCTGTCAAAAGGAGGGGTAAAAAATAAAATAAATAAATATTAAAAAAGTGCAAAGTTTACTAATCATCAATTACTAATTATTAATAAAATATGGTCATAAGAGCGATATACCAGTCTATGCTTAAATTTATGTTTATGTTGATGCCGAATGATTGACACATTTATTAGCAAAAAAATAATATTCAATGTGAAAGAGGCCAATATATAGGTAAATATAGGATATCCGTATATACTGAAAATGTGGGGAGAGGGTGATAAAATTTTTTTTTTTAAAAGTGTAAACTTTACCAATCTCAATAAAATATGATAAAATGGACGATATATCGGTCTTTGCTTAAATTTATATTTATGTTGATTTCTAGGTATCAACAATACCTACGAAGCCGGTATATAGGTAAATATAGGATTTCAGTGCTAAAAAATAAAAATAGATATAAATTAGCATATCGGCCGATACTGATAATTGGCCAAAAGGCAATATGGCCGATATTAATATCGATATCATTTTCGGTCGATCTCTAATTATGACATTATAAATAATAGTTATATTTTTTCAGGAAAAAAACTGTTATAAACAAAAGTAGAAAAAAAACAAAGAAATTTGCAATAAAATATGAAAACAACTAAATTTGTAATCATTGATTTAACAATACTTACTGCCGTAAAGTAATATACTAAAAAAAAAATTAATGATGTTATGAGTTGTTTTTTTTTTTTAAATATTTGAAAATGGCAATAAATGCCAACATTTTATATAATGCATACAGGAAATAAAACTTCTTAATAATGGAATAAGATCTGTGGGAGTAAATTTTATCTTTATAAAAAAATAGTTGTGTATTGATTAAATATTAATAATTATACCAAGATCCTACAAAAGAAATTGACAAACCAAGATAGGGTTGTTTATCATAAAAACATTTATTTATGTTGGCACGCCAACATTTGAAGAAATTCCTCTAAACATGTTTTGGCTATGCCTTCTTCCTTCTTCTCTTGCATCTAGAAAGGCTGATACATCTTTATGGCCAAAGAAAGCAGCAACTTTACTTGCAGAGTTTCCCAGTCTGAAATTATTAATTTTTCAACATATTTTTAAAAATGATATATAATAAATTTCTAGGGGTGAGGAGTCACTAGAATGTTTCATCATTATTAATCTATAATTGATATTTGTAAACATATAAAATAATGCAATATAATTTAAGGCAAATATTACTGCTATGCAGAAGCTTTACCCTTTCCATGTCACATTCTATTAAACGTCAGCAAGACAAAGTTATAAGATCTTTGATTTCCTTGACTTTCCGATCAATTATTTCAATTTGAAATATTTTAAAATGAAATTAAAACCAAAGGATATTAGTTTAACTTATGGGTCTTTAATATAAATTATATAGAAGATTACACTGGCCTAAATATATTAAACAAGAAAAAAAACAAGTGCATGTGTACATAGTATTTTGTTGTTTTTTCTCCTTGCTGTAAAAAACTAAACTTTTTTTGCTTGTGGCCTGGTAATTGACAAAGGATTGGAAACAGATTTGAAAAATAAGAAATATAAAGCCTGTAGAGAAAATATGTATAGAAAAAGATTTTCTTTTTCCAAATCTAAAAAATTTTGAAAAATAATAAAATATTTTTTCTAGATCAATATTTTTAATAACAAAGATAATTAATTTTGTTCAGGTAGATGCTAATTACATTTGCAACAAATGAACAAGCGTAGCCAACGGATCTTAACTATTCTCCCAACTTCTGGCTGATTAAGCTATCTCAAAGTACTACACAAATTTGGGAAGATTCTTATCATACATTTTTTAGAAAGCCTCTAATTCTGATGCTCAATAAGCACAGCTCTGATCAGTACCTTATATATTCTCAATTTTTAAACTATTAAGCTACATTCCAAATACCAATAGTACCTATTGGCTGATGATATTTGCCTCCTAATCTAAGCTGAAATGTTATTTGTTTGTGATCACAAGTTAACAAACTGATCAAATTTTTTTAGAGTTTGTACCAACTTGGACAAAATATATATTATTATCTGTGCTAAATTGAACAACAACCATATATTTGGTATTAACCCTATAATGACGGTGGACTCATGTATTAGTCAAGATGGAATCAGACCCACACTAATATATGAGATCTCACTAATATAATCAACACACTAATATAATTAGACCACAGTGGACTAATATATGAGTCAAGAGACCGTTGGGCTGTTTCTCGTTAAATGACGGGATGCTCAGGGATGAACTCTATCTTCAAACTATCGTGTGGCTTTTCTATACACTAAATAATGTTCTTTGTAGGTTATATCGGACAAATGTGCTTAATAGGTATATTGAGGTTTTTCATTGCTTGATACAGATGCTCATATTGAGTGCTTTTGTAAATAGATCTAAAATCTAAAATATTTTCTCAAGCTCTCTATTTTTTTCAGTTTCTTTGTTTGTTTGTCTATGATGAATATGCTTTTCTTCTCCTCTGCCCTACTGATAGATATTCGCTAAAACTGACTAGATGTTTTTTTATGAAGGAAGTATTTGCAGGCTCATTCATTCTTTTGAAGTGACATTCTTTGTCAAACTTTTACAACCTTCTCTCTATTTGGCTAGGGTCAATTATGCCTCTGGTATGTCACACATAGTTTTTTAATTAATCGAGGACAATCCATTGACATCTTTATCTTTTGTAGGTTCCATATCATTGAATTTTTCATTAATCTAGATTTTGTAATTTAAAATTCATACTTCCTTTGCCTTGCCTTGTTTTTATAAGTGAGATTCTATCTCTTACTATGGCCAAAGTTAAAAAATGTTCTGAACCCATGTGAGGTCCACAAAAAGTTCTGACGTTGAAAAGGTTTGTTCTATATCTAGCACTTATAAAAGAATGATCAATTTAGTTAACTATATTTATAGTAGGAAGTGTTGAAGTGCCAAGATGGATTCTTTTACAGGAAAATAAACTGCTAACAACTACATGACTTTGTGATGTACAGACATTAGCAATTCTATGACCATTGTCATTACAAACATTGTGCAGACTACACTTACGAATAGTTGAGTAAATTTGTTATAAATTTTTGCATTAAAATCACTGACATTTATTATTATTAAATTTAAACAAGGACATGCTTCAATATTTTTTTTTAATAGCAAGTCATTGTACACTTACTTGACTTGTTCATCTGAAGTTTCAGTCCGAGCATGGCAACTTAACAGTATATAACAAAATAATACTCCTTTTACCCTGATAAAAATTCATAAAATTCATTTGGGGGTTTATATGCTGTATTTCAATTATTGTTACAATTTTAGTATCAATGATTGACAATAATAAAATTTATGGGGTGAATTTTTATCTAAGTGAACCCACTTCCAATCCTTTGAATTTCTTTCAATGTTCATTATGGGACAGTAATGGCAATTCCATTTCATCTAAGAGCAGTTTAATTGTTTCTGTTCTATATAGAGTTAAGATATAGTCTATAGGAGTTAAGACAGAAGAGATAAGATATAGTTAAGATCAAAGGATAAATGGATGGTGAAATCAAAATGATGGGCGCTATGTTGCTTTCTTATATACAGTACATCTAGGTCATATCAAGGTTTCCAGATACAAAAATTTAGGGGACGTGGTTATCAATCAACTGTCCCTGAGTCAGGAGGAGAGACTGCTTTCTCAGAGGATCCAACATTCTCCCTGGAGCAGCCAAAGGAAGATGACCCGAGGATGAGTACTATTTATAAAAATCCTACTATAAATTTTTTTTAAATATTTGATATCAAAAGCATATATATATTCTACCTTCGGCTCAACTTGATAGTTAAAATAATCTTTCTAAATAATCCTTATAAAATCAATAATAAATTCCTACAATTATAAACAGTATAATCATTCTCTCCAATTGATTCATATGATCTTCTCATATATACCATAGGTGTGGAACCTTTTATAGATCCCAGTAAAACTAGATATTGATAATGGAGCCCACAATATTTTTTTTTTTTAATATTTTACTGTGCTATTTTCATTTATGAGTAAATACAAGATACACACATTTAATTCTATTAATGTTCAAATTTTCATTGGCTAAATAATTAAACATTAATTAATATTGGTGATAGATTAATAAGGATCTCACAAAAACTAACAAAGACCACATTCTGGCTGAAGGTCGTAGGTTCTCCACTGGTGATAAATACGTTAGCATACCATAATACAGTACAGAATATAAGATAATAATAATAAATAATAAAAGGCTTAGCGAACACAAAGGTTCGATGCCGACACCACCAATCGGTTATTACACACCTCCCTCTACCGTTTCCAGTCCAAACCCAGTCTCTTCAGATCAGTTTTAATGCAATCTTCCCGCCTTCGCTTCAGTCTTCCCCTAGGACGTTTACCATTCGGTACAGCAAATATTAACCTTTTAGGAATTCTCTCCGTATTAAACCCAACAATTTTACAAGCCCATTTGATTCATCGCGATGGAATTACCTCAAACGTTCCACGTACCAATATTTAAATCCCTATTTTTCAACTTGCGCCATGAATCCCTTAAAGCAGTCAACACCCGGAGACCCGAATGGGGGATTAGTTTACCTTCGGATAATGAGCGTTTTACCATGGGGAGATCCATGAATATTTTTGATGTATGGTGAACTAAAGATATGTGAGTAGGGCGTTCAATCCTACCTCACACCCTCCAGCAAGTCTGGTGGGCCCCTACCTCCAGCAAGTCTGGAGGGCCCCTCTCATTGTTGGTCAGCGAGTCCATCGGACTTAGCCAGCAGGAACTTCCGAGCAATTTCCACTGAACATCCCCACATCCTCCACCTGTGGGACGCTCCCCATACGCCGGTAATGAGACCGCCCGAGGACAGATTATAAGATAGATTTAAAATAAGCCAAAAATAAAGTAACATGGTACAAACAGTGTGACTTACACATCTTTTTTCAAAAGTAGATAAGGACAAAGTAACAGGATGAATTCAACAAATTTTAAATTTCCTGTAGCTGCAGCAAAGTGAAGAATTGTTTGATCCAACTGATTTTTTGCACAAGGTTTCATGCCAATTTGAATCAAACTGTTAATGAATTAATCCGAAATCATTATACAGAACTTAAAAAATGGAGATTTAAAATAATTAGTATGGAAACTTAAGATGAATTGGTTGTAATATTTATATCTTATATTTATATATTAAAAAATAAAAAAAAAAGTTTCTGCTAAAATTTTTCAGATTTTTTTTAATAGAAAAATAAGATTTAGATATACAAAAACAGACTTGAAAGTGTAGTTCCATAAAAATGTAGGAACTTTTTGCAATAAACTGACCTTATTTTATTTTTTTTTTTCATAGTATAATTTTCATTCAATTAATTTTTTTTTAATTGGCAAAATCCCTATTTTGATCAAATCATATGGATAAGTAACGTGAATAATGGTTAGTCTCTAACAGTAGCGGTTATAAATTACCTGAACAACAAAAAGAAATCTCCATCTCCAACTACTTTGAACATGGAGCACGAATATGGACATACATCTTTTTTTTCTTCTTCTTTTTTCAAACATTCGAAAGGATGAAGATCATAAAGATTACACATATTCTGAAATTAAATTAAATTTGATGATGCCAGAGATAAGTTACACTAAACTGATGCAAAACAATAGCTATAAAATAAACCAAAGACCATGGCAACATACAAAATTGAGACAATATCAAGTAAGAAGTAGATAAAGTTCAAAAATACTATTTATTTTTAAACAAACCATGAAATAAATTCACACCTTCACATTTATTTCTTTTGTATTTTTTTCTTGTTTATCTTACAATTAACATTAAATTATATTTTCTTGTTTTTGTTAATCATACATATTTCATATTCTTTGTCTATTATTCTATGCCTTTATCCTACTTTTTTTTTAAATTTAAGTTATATCCTTTATTCTTGCCTGCTATGGCAAACATGTTCATATCAACTCTATTCAAAGTTTTAAAGTAAATTAATGAACTAAAAGAACAAGTAGGATCATCAAGAAATATAAATTAGCACTCACAGGTCAGCATCCACTTCTAAAATATGAATGATAAAGATGCTACCATGGCTTCAGATTATAAATTTAATAAGTAAAAATTATCATACCTTTATGTATTTATAAGCTCTTGAACTAAATCCTAATTTATTGAGATTTGGAGATATGAAGCTGTATGCCATTACACCTGGCAAAATTACCAAACAACAACCGGACTCACCAAAAGCAACAGGCAAGCCTACCTATAATATTTTTAGTTTTTAAAAAAAGATGATTAAAAATTAATAACTAATCAGGAATTATTAAATAATACTTAATTGTTCAGTTGTGTTTTAAACTTCTATTTTAAGTTTTTATAAGTTATTCTATAAGAAAATGAAATTCTCTATTTTATAACAATCCCTCTGAAAAATCATGAAGGGATATTAAAAAAAATTGGAAAATTGACTTGAATAAACAAGAATAAAAGATAATCAAATGGATAAAATAAGTGAAAAATTAATTATATTCACACAGGAATATTTCATATAAACTAAAATTAGAACAAACAACCCAATGGTGTGGTGCATGCATCACAAAACTTTCACTTACTAACCTTAGGATTGTATAAAACACCCTAATGATTATGTGGGAAAGTTGATCTTTTGGAAGAAATCTGCTTTTTATCATACAAATTTAATAAGAAACTTGACGAAAAAATAACTTAATTCTAGTAAATATTGAATATTATTAGGTTTATATTAGTAGATCATCAACATTTCTCATAGAACTCTTAAAAAAATCATGGATAAGTGATATATAAAAACTAAACTAGCAATATGAAATCCTTGTACAGAGTGGTATCGGGTATCTTTAAAGGGAGAAGATCAGGAAATGTCGGGCGTTCTCGGCTTCCATAGCTTCCAATCTACTAATCAATTTTCTTCATTCATTATATTTAACCATTTTTTACACTAGGTTATAATATGAAATGGTTAATTATTTCAAATAAAAAAAAAATAAAGGTACTTTAGAGGAAGACATTTTGAAAATTAGTCATTTAAGCCCTATTAAACAACATCAATGAAAATAAAACCTATCTGATTTTAAAGAACATTTAATTATACATTCATATACTGAGTTAGAGATAACAGAAATTGTTAGAGCCATTTCTGAGAAAATCATAAAAATGTGTTAAATCCATGATATAAAGTGCAACTTCCGGTTTCACCAAAAATTTTCAGTAACATCCCAGACTTATCAAAACCTTCAGTATGCAATATTTCACTTTGCAGGACTTTTAACACACATGCACGCTTGCACTAACAGACACAAATACACAAGCACTCACGCTTGCAGACACACACACACACACACATACACACACACACACACACGCACGCACACGCACACAGAGATTATTTCGTGGGACTTGTTATTTGGACTCAAGAGACCTCAAAATATGTATTTTTGTTGAAAACTCAGATTAGAAAATTTTCATGATCACAATACTTTCTCTTACTACATATTACATAATAATAATGATAAAATAATAAATTCTCAATTATTTTCATAATGACAATTCCATTCTAGATCTAACTACTTAAAAAAATCAAGCCAAAGATGTATAAACAGGAAAAAAATATGGCAATGTGGACAAAAATTTTCAATAATGTATTGATTCGGCATCATGCATTGATTCATTCAATTCTGGCATCCTATTATTATGAAAAGGTAATAAAGGTATATATATTTTCGTGTGAATTTTATTGTTTAAAGTTGTAATTATAATGTTTTATAGATTATCAATATGTTTTTTCCAAGATTAAAAAAACAAAACAACAATGAACACAACACATTTTTTGAGGTCTTACCTCTAAAACTTTTCAAGTCTGAGGTGTAGAGGATGTGCTCTATTTGTTTTACTTGCTATCATTTCAATGCTGGGAACTTTTTAAAGCCGAGAGACACCACATGATCAACTCTCATAACCCATTTTTTAAGATAGAAGTCTTTTTGATTGATTTTTTTTTCATTGTCTATGATTCAGCTGAATAGAGAGTAATACTTTTCAGGAATGATTTATACATAGATTTTTTTGTTTTTTAAGGACAATGTTTTACTCAATAGAACCAAATTTAAAATTCTAATAATGATAATCTTATAACTGATACTTTTTCAATCTCCATGACTGTTCCCACAACATTCATCCAAGTTATGGTCTCAACAGGATCATCTTGTAGAATAGATAAACTCTATAGGATCAAACTAGTTCTTCAATTACAAGTGCACATTTGCTTCATTTCCATTTAATATTTTTTTTGGTATTACCTACTCATGTTACTGGTCACTACTCTTCATGATAATTCAAACAAAGTTTTCTGGAAAATTGGGCTGATGTTCCAAAACTTTCACTCTTCCGGAACCTTATTTTTGCTAATGCAGCTCATGTAATTTTAAAGGGATTGGGTAAATTATTTCAGTTTAATTTTTAATACAATTATTTGGATATTACTGGACCAGCATATTTATGTTTTTCTATTTCTTTGAGACCGAGATTTATTTCTTCAACTTATTGATGGTCCTTGTTTTCCCAGTTTTCTGTTATCCTACTTGTTGGTTGAGTGGTATATGCCAGTCTCTCTTTCTTTAGCAGACTTGAAAATTAATGAACTCAGATATCTACATTCAGAATATCAAATCCTCTCTACTTTGGAGCTTTTTATTACCATTGCACTTTCCCATGAAAAACTACCTTTTTGACTAATTGTACATCAATTGATTAGTTTACAATTTCTTTCCTAAAATTTACTGGTGCCATGATTTCCTATTTATTAGTTTCTCTGTTTGCATTTTTATATTTTTCAAAAATTTGTTTGTTTTAGTTTCAATTCGAACAGAAATAAAGTGAATTACAATGAGTCCTGTAACTCTAAATGAATGGAATACAAAAAAAAAAAAATGTTATTTGACAAAAATCAACTTCAAAGAACTAATATTTAATATAACATTCTGTAGTAGACATCCCCTGGTATTTACTCCTTTATGTGATATTGGGTGAGGGAATGAGAAGGAATATATAATATATAGGAATGTGAGGTTGCACTGTGAATTGTACTCAATTGTGCAGTGGACAAATTGTTCATTGGAAAATCTCATATCGATAAAGAAGGAAAAAGGTCTGGTCAGGTAGCAGCAGCTTAAAGAAGACGCCAGACACTTGAGGCTGGACATTGAGGCGGAACACATACCTGGGAAGAGAGTCTACTACAAGATTTAGAAGATCAAGTCTATAGTTATAACACTTTAATAGAGTCAATTTATTACAGTTGTAGAAATAAATCATTTTGTTATACAGGAGTGAAAAGTCATTTATTTATTTAGTTGTCCTATATGCCTCACGATTAAAGAATAACAAACCAGATGAGTCAATTCATTCAAAGTGTATTTACTAAGTCCCACATCTCAAATATATATTCTTATTGTTTCTTCTCACTCAGTGTCACAAAAGGTATTAGATTCCCGAATTCCCAACAAAAGTTAAACATCCTCAAAAAGTCTATATCCAGTGCCGGGGTTTTGTTTTAATTATCTCGAGTGTAAATAACCTAGTTTCTCGATATAAAAGCGTAAGGTTATTCACTATTCCTGGCAAAAAACAAATTATTTAACAATTAACTTTTAGTAGGTTATTTACAATTCAAAAGCCAAAACTTAACATTAAACATATATTATGTATTTTAACCACTAAAGCATAATACAAAATTAAAGTAAAGTATGATACCTTGCGAACCCAAAGAGCTGATGCTGCTCCACTAGAAAACAATGTCATGTAATTATACAAATATCGACAATGACCTTCTTTAATTACCCTCTTCAATGTGAATGGATTGACGCCATCATTTGCTATGGTTGCACCAATAATGCTCAGTGACTCAATATTGGCTTCAAAAGAACATACCTGAAATGGTGGCAAAAATGTCAACCAATTTTCATTGTTCAATAGTATAATTAAATATATTATTAATTAAAATATTCTAACAAGTCATATAACAACAAATAATTAAATTCATAGAGAAGATTAAAAATATTGATATATGAAGGAATTTAATAAGTAATTATGTTTAACTGAACACATGATTTTATGTCATGTTTCCAGTTTACTTAATACTTCAAAACACACACATGACAGAATTACGGAGTCAAGATGACCTAGAGATGAAAAAAACACTATTATTGATTATAGAGTGCTCAACTGCAGAATAAACATCTAAGAACACATCGGACAGTAGAAGATTAGTTCTTAGTTCATCAACCTCACTTTCATCAGTGAAAGAGCCAATGTAATACACATTAATTTTTTTTTTTTAATATCAAAATTAATAATATGCTTGAACCTTTTCTAAGATTTATTAGGTAAGGGACTGAAGAAAATACAAGAATAATTTCTGTGATTAATAGAAAAAAAACTTCTCAGAACAAATTTAATTTAAACAGATCATCCATCATCATATTTCATTTCAAAAGAAAAGAAAAAAAATGTTTAAAAACATTTAAAATTTTTAATTTGTTGTCTGTTATAATCTGTAAAATCAAAGGAGGTAGTAGTGGGAACAAACCACACCTGAGTGTCAGTTCTTTTCCAAGAACAGGTCAGTTGTCACCTATCCTTACCAACACACAGTTAGTCTACAAGCAAAGTTTGGTTGTTCCTGATCTTAGGCCAGTACAGTCACTTTCCAGCAGTATTTATGACATTAACTCATCTGCCAGTCTTCAGCTGGAGTTCAAACAGTGGAGTTCTTTGATGACTTTCAACCGTCATCATCAAGATGTTATATCATAATGTAGTATTTCTATCACCTTTGGACAAACTGGGAACTCAGCAACATCAAAAATATTAAGTCAATTAATCAATTTAAAAACAAAAACAATAGACCTGATGCCCATCATTGAAGGAGCCTAACTTCTTTTCTTAGCAGAAACTACCAAATGTTGTAATGATGATATTCCATTGAATGTATGTATATTCATTCGCTAAATAATAATTGGTTATAGGATTGTTTTTTCTTGTTTTTTTGTGTATTTGCCTAAACAGTGTATTGACTGAGTTTCAAAGGTGATAGAGGTCTCAGAACCCATGTAGCTAAGAAGCATCCCAGGGAGGCAAATAACGCTAGGATTAGGAGCTTAAATAATAATAGAGAAAGGGAAAGAAATGGAGAGGGTGAGGAAGAGGGAGTAAAAAAAGAAATAACCAAATGGTCGTCTAACTTCCAGAAATTTGTTCAGCAAAATAATGTGGAATTCGACCAAACAGGGGGCAATTCCCTAAAAACCATCAATGAAGAATTGCCTGGCCCACAACACCCTGCTGTTAAATTTTATAAGTTAAGAAGAAACATAAAACAGATATGACTGCTAAGGGTGCAGGAAAAGTGTCGAATCCACAGAGGGCCAACAAGGCAGATACAAGTCATCAGCAAGAGCAATATCAATATGAGGTAATCCCGTATTATTATAATAAATAATAAATAAACAAATAATAATAAATAAATAATAATAATGAAAGGAAGAAAGTGGTGCAGAATATTATGAACGCCAACACTCCTGAGCAATACCCCCAGGCAGATGAAGTGGAATGGGAAAAGAAGAACATATATGACAAATGTATCCCTTTCCTAAAAGGGAAATTTGGTTAGACCTTTGGAGAGAGTTCACCGTGAGAGGCCTCTGGTTTGGGTCTCCCGAAATGATTCCAAAAAGAACTAGGAGCTTCCTCGAGGGACTAGGTGTTGATGTTGTGGAGCTTGTGATATTGGCCGAGAATATTATTCTGGAATGTCTGGGTATCATCCAATATCATTTATATAGTAATTGACAATATCTTTTATAAAATGGTTGGAATGAAAATGAGACACCGTTGACAACATAAAAGAGGACACGTGTATGAAAATTAGTAAAATTTTCTACACCATTTCTCCATTTTCCTCTTTTATTCCATCAATGGAGTCTCGTTTTTTCACTGTTCCAACCATTTTATAACTGTTTAGAGGAAGGCCAATGGGAACAGGAGTTGTAAAAATTTTCATTCGCTTTTCTTTTTTTATCTCAGGAATGAAGGATCAGTTTTCACTATTCTAACAATTTTTGCAACTATGTAGGTCTGGCAAAAACTGCGAAACATTTTCTACACAAATTCTCTATTTTCGCCTATATCTAAATAGTTGGAAAACTGTTGGAATTGTGAAAAACCATGCATTCGTACACGAGATAAAAATGGATTAGTGAATGAAAATTCGGAAAATTTGTACCATGCTTGTTTCAACTGGCTTATTTATAAACAGTTATAAAATTGATGGAATGATGAAAAAATGGGCATGTACTATTCACGATATAAAAGAAGGGAAATTGTCTATACTATTTCTCAATTTTAACTTACCTCTTAACAGCCAGAAAAGTGGTGGAACGGTGAAAAACTGATCGTTCATTCCCGAGATAAAAGAGGAAAATAAAATAAAAATTTTCTACACCATTTCCCACCTTTACATAGCCGGAAAATTGTTAAAACAGTAAAAAAAAACGATCTTTCATTACCGAGATAAAATAGTAAAAGTGAAAAAAAATTCAGAAATTTTTTTTTACACTATTTCTCTGTTTTTGTTTACCTTTACGTAGCTGGAAAACTGTTGGAACAGTGAAAAACTGATCCTACATTTCCGAAATAAAAGAGGAAAAGAAAATGAAAATTAGGAAAATGTTAAATGTTAAACCGACAGTATTTTCATAGAAAGTGTTCCCAACAGATAAAAAAAATATATAAATTTTTTTTTGGCCATTTTCCTTTCAGTCTATCTCTAAACAGAGGAAAATCGTGTGTATTTAATTTTTTTTTTATTACAATTCCATGATAATGATTACAGTGATTTTGATTACAATGGTTAGAATTAAAAAATTACGATTACAAGATTACACGATTATAATCCAAATCAAAAACCATGATTACAATTACAATTGGGTAATCAAATAATTGTGTTATTTTTTTTATTATAACTGTAATCATAATTGTTGGTTATGATTATGCCCATCTATGATAAAATATAATAGTTATGTCCATATGGATTAATTAGTAGGCTGTGTATTAAGCATCAAGGTTCACAAAAAAATTTCATACAAACAATTGCCCAATTTCCAGCAGAATAGTAGGAAATTTAAGATTTGTGGTTTTTTTAAGCGAGTCACATTGTTTGTTGAATAGAATGCGATGAATTAAAAAGTATTTGATTTATGTAACTAACATTGCTCCATAGTAAACTAGACAAAATTTGTTTTAAATGAAATTAGAGTTTATCATTGTTAAAACTATTTAAGGAGGACTTTTGAGCGGGTAAAAACAAATATGTTCCGTTTAAAAAAAAAAAGTCATAAATTATTTGTGATTTTTTTTATCCCACTTTGTACTACATTTTTATCATAAACTGTGCTCCATTTAACCCACTTTTAGAAAAACTTTCCCATTTAATAAGCTTTAAGTCCATATTAATTAAGTTGAAGTTTATTGGGAAAATTTTTGAGATTCACTTCAAGTTGTGTGAAAAAATATCGATATTATAATAGCAAATACTTGGTAGGATACATACATTATACAAAATAGAAAAATAGCAGAAGGAAATAAAATATAAAATTATACTGATAATTTATCAAGAAATAACCGGATTTTATGCTCATCTGTTAAAATAACTCAATTTTTACACACAACATTTTGCACTAACACTAGCCAACTATTTCAGCAATTTATCAATCAACAATGTAAATATAATTTCAGGATGTCTGTTGGAGAACTTGGAGATTAGGAACATATACTTTGTATCAGAAACGATATAATAACCGCCAGAATATACTTGAAATTTATTATTATATATAAAAAATCAGAATGATTACGAAAGAGTGAGAACTTCCATAATTGAAACTAATAGTAAAGGAAATTGAAGTGACTATATATATATATATTGATATGAGAGACAAAACTTAGAACAAAAAAGAAACGAATATTTGTGGAGCAGACTCCAATTCAGCCAACCATTGGATTTTAATAAAAAAAAACCAAAAAACTATACCAAATCTACAAAGTCCTGAAGAAAAGAATAGCTGAATAGTCTCTTGGAAGTGAAAAATCAGAATGCCTAAAATATGAGAATGAAATACAAGATTATTATTTGTGATGAACCGAAAATAAAAAAAGAACAACTTAATGAAATCATAATGAAATATAATGAAAATTATCAAAAAAAAGAAAGTGAAGTTAAGAATAAATAAAAGTTAGTCAGAAAAATAAACTTAATTTAAATTCTTCATTATTACAATAAGCTCAAGAAATAATCTCTTCACAGGAGAGAAAAGGTGATAAATGTTTGAATACTTTTAATCCCTATCACAAATATGAAAAGATAAGATCCATAACACAAAAAAAAATTCACCAATTGCTTGAATTATCTTTGAGAAAGTTGCATTAACACCGTGACTACCCAGCACAAAGGTACTTCAATGTGGTGCAAAATTGGCATGGATATAATTTAAAAAATTACTATCCCAGTGCATACATTGAATAGGATTAACAATGATTACTAACAATTTTCATAATTTATGAATATTCTCAAGTATTACAAAAGAGAAAATGATTTTTAAAATAAAATCCTATACCATATAGAAATAATTATTAAGAAGTAGGCAGGGTAAAGGAAAGGGGGTTATACTTATGACATGCCTCAATACCCTTGATTGTGATATGTGTTATAAAAATCTAGTACAAGCCTAGCATCAGGAAACCATTTTCTATTCCAGAAAGCCGAGAGATTTCAACTTCAAAGGCTCTTTCCAATCCAAATTAATAAAAAAAAATTACTTTTAATTTTTTCTACTTAATTAATATCAGAGTCTGTACAATCAATATGGAGTTTCATTAAAACCATTCTTAAAATAAAAAATAAATTTTTAATTAATACATTATAAATGTATATATTTTTTTAATTACGTGTAAATAAAATTCTAAATCCTTGGTAATGTCATGTGGCCACTTCAATGCTTTACAACTCTCTAAATAGTAGCAAAGACTAATGTATTCCAAGTTATTGTCCATCATTGACATAAATATTGATTTATCAGTCCCAATGTGACCTACTCCTGCCATTTCCTAGAAATTTAAAATATTTTAGAATTATTATTATAATGCACAGATAAATTGATGACTCAAAATTTTGAATCAGTACATTTTCTTTAAAATATACCAATATAGGATATTGGGATGTCAATCAAAAGTGATGTTTTTATTATAAATATTTAAATTAATTTTCATATTGTTAAATGAATGCATATATGAAAAATAATTGTTATTGTAAACAAGTTAAAAGGTCTAAAATCCCTTTGTAAAGTTTTTGTTGGAATAAAGTGGGTTTATTTCAATTCAGAGTACTTACGATTAGATATATATTGGCCCTAACCCGAACATAAGTGGCGACCGTGACAGGACCTGTTTGGGCACCATTCTCCCACCTGAGAAGTTTTGAATTGTTACTAACAATTTAAAAATAGTAAATCATAACCAGAGGAACACTCTACAGTCTTCAAACTCCAGAGTTCCCTTCTTTTTTTCCTCTTTTTTGAATGCTTCTTTTTCTTACCAGTACCTTTTTTGACCTATTTTATTTCATATGAGGAAGACTCTCACTGTCTTCATTTATAGCAGTTTTCTCTGAAAATCGGTTTGGTCGATAGTGAGGGATCATACATTAGTTCTGGAGCAACAGCCATATCAGCAACTGAAGTATTTTGAATATCATTTATATTTTGAATTTTAATTCCATCATTTTTATCATTCTTCTCTTTCCCTATTCCTTGGGGAAATTTCTCAGGTTGATTATTTTCCAAAGCATCGTTAGCTCCTATCTTTCTTAATCTTATATCTTTCATATCTTACTTGTTTTTTTCAGGATCACCAATGAATGGTCTAAAACCTAACTCACCAGAACTTTTTTCTTCTTAAGTCTGTGTTTCTTCACTGAGGTCGGTTCCGCCTTCCTTTTGATAGTCACACAATGATTCTCCTAAAATGATCGCTCTGTCAAAACAATTAACTATATGTTCTCCTCTCACAACCTGGACATGTTCCACAATTTCAGGACCAAATCCTGATTTTCTTTGAGTATTATTTTGATCAAAGTTAGGTTGCAGTTCAGGAGATGGATAATATTTCTTTCTGTGACTTTGAATTTTAGCTAGTATAAGGCCTTCAATGCCAATTGTAATTTTTGGTCACTGCGAGCATCTCTTGTTCTTCATGTCTATCTTTCCTCCTAGCCTCCTTCAAACTATTAGTAAAAAATAAATTTATAATTAATACATTATATTGGATTATGGATATGAATATGGATGTGGATACCTACAGAAAACAGTACTGGCTTTCAAAGAAAATTCATTTCTTGATATATCATTTTTGACGTATATCTCTTCATTTTCATTTTCAAATGTTCTGATGGTATCTTCATTAGCATCACCTTTAGTATGTCTTCATCTTAGTTCTTGACTTCATCTTCATCTTAAGACATTAGTATGTCTTATATGTCTTCATCTTTATCCTTAAATGCTTTGATGCTGTTTTCCTTAGCTTCATCTTTAGCAAATTTGCCTTCATCTTCATCGTCAAATTCTCTATTGCTATCTTCCTTAGCACCATCTTTAGCACATGTGTCTTCATCTTCATACAAATTAAGAGTTTTCATAACTAGTAGAGTGTCCATAACTAGTCATTTACCCTACTATACCTTTTATTTATCTTTAATATTTAAAAAAAAAAAGAAAGAAATAGCAACCCCGTTCTCAACTGACAACTTTTAATATAGTGCAAATATCTATTATTTTCAAGGAAAGTAGACAATAAACCAGAACAATGTGTACAACACTATATTTTTGGAAAAAATGATTTTTTGATGATTTTTTTTTTAACTTTTAGAAAATGATAATTATCAAAAAATGTATTCTTAAAAACATTATTCATATCTTCATGTACACTTTCAAAGTACTTGTGATATATCATTCTGAAAGTATAATTTTTTTATAAATCTATCATCAGAATAATTGTCATTTTCTTTTGTGTTCTTATTTATTTTAAGATTTAATTCTTTGCCAGATTTTGTGAAACATGTATTGAATTTCACAGTTTTCGTACTGATCCCCAAACTGTACCATATCAGCCTACCCAAAATTATACCTTTCACAAGACAAATTAATTTCCTAACAACTTATTATATTTTTAAATTAAAGAACTTTGGGGATAGAATATCTTTGTTGTAAATTCTGAAAAGGTAACCAAAGAAGATTTAAATATTAAGTAATCACTTTATGAGATGGTTAAATAATAATTTTAAAAAAATGGTACTAAAAGTTAACCACTCTATTTACTTTTATATATGAATGAACATAATCATATTTTGCTGGGAGGGAAAGATCCTTTAAAGCCACATTATAGAGAAGTGAACAAAGTACTATCGCTCCACATTCTGTTGCAGGATTCACAGGTTTTTCTGTAAAATGATTTTACTAATTATTGTTAAAAACTTGTCAACAGTGAATAAACTATATAAAAATAAGATTTTTTAAAACATTGGGAACAGCAGTTTCTAATACAAGAGCCTTGGTGGTACTCTATAATAAAAACTTCTAAAAACACTGCTAAATAATTTTTATAGTGGAGGTTAAAAGTTTAAAATAATTCTATGAATATAAGAGATAAATGCACTATAAAAGCACAACTTTAAACATCCCAATATAATTTGACAATACAATATTTTTAATCAACAGCAGCAACAAGCCTCACTGTTTCATCTTTCAACAAGTTTATCAAGTTTCTATGTAAACAAGAGAAGATATATATTGTGGATATTTATTTATTTATAGAATCACTTTTTACTTTCTAATGGAACATACATGTAAGTTTGAAAATCCTAATAAAACTTAACTAATCTCGCTTTTTGTATGGTGAATGTATTTTGAAAGAAGATTCAGATACCAGTAAAAGTAATTGAAGGGGGCAGTCATAAATAATATATAGTTTAGACAATTGAAATTATTTAAGACCACCCTGAATCATTTCTTCTCTCATTACGTATTTATTTCTGAAGCCTACTGGATGTTGTGAAATAATTGTTTAAAAAGAGATTTAGAACAAATAAAGTGGATTAATATACTGATATTACACTATTTAAACATTATATATATGTATAATATATATATATATATATATATATATATATATATATATATATATATATATATATATATATATATATATATTGAAATAAGAAAATTATCAGGTTTCCTTCTTGCATAATTTCACTTAGCTGGAATGAGATCAGTATTTTCCAAAATTGGAAAAATCTAAAATCGCCTCAGGTACTAATGGGTTAATGATGATTTATTAAATTATTTTAATGGCAATCCATAGATATTTGTAATAATTATAAATTATGAATGAACTGCAGGACTGGGTCTTATGTTTTCTTAAATGAAAATCAGAAACAGCTTTCAATAAAATACAGAATAAGTGTAGTTCACTGATTTCAGGTTGTAAATATTTTCTATTGAAAATCCCACGGAGGGTATATGTTTATTTATTCTATATACATATATTTTTGATATTTGATATTAAAAGAAAAATACAAAATTTTGAATTAAAAAAACACAGACTACAGAAATTGAGAAATTCCATCCATCCTCAGGGAATATACTTCCATATATATTTAAACATCTTGGTAGATTTGTAGGGAAATGAACATTTTCTAATATTTAAACTTGGTGTAGTAGTCGGGTGCCTACCACCATTCAACAAAACTCAAGACTTGGATGTTTACTTGCACCGATTCATGAGGTGAAATCTATTTATCTGGAGCCATAATGTATAGTGAAAGGTACCCGACTATTACACCAAGTTTAAATATTCCTAGATATCAATTTCACTATCAATCTACCAACGTTTTTAAATAGACATGGAAGTAAATTCCTTTAGGGTGGATACAAATTTTCAAGTTCTGTAGTCGGTTTTTTTAAATTATTTTTTTATTTTATTTTAACATTTTTAGACTTTAAAATATGGTCAATTTATTTTCATATTTCATAACTTATGATTACATGATATCATTCCAAACAAATTAATAATCGAGATACTTCAACTATAATACTGTTTTTTCAATATTTTGAGTTCAAATTGTTTCAAAACATTCAATGTCACTGAGTAAATACAACTGTCAAAGCTAAAAATCGGTCAAATCGTCTGCTCAAAAATATGTTGCACACTTTTTAGCGTACAGATTCAACACATTTAAAATAAAAATTTGTCAGTTATTTAAGCTCAAATTGTTTCAAAACGTTTCTGAGAGAACACTGAAAAATTTGATGAATTGAACTTTAAAATTGATGTGTCCGTTACCCAAAAAAAAATCGTTACATAACTTTTATCGACGGATTAAACACTTTTTATACTGTAATTTGATAGAATTTTGAGTACAAATTCTTTCAAAACACTCACGGGATCTCAACGAATAAAAGTATCTGACTTAAACATCGTTGCAGGCGTTCAATCGAAAAATTGTTACATACCTCTTAGTGGAGACTCCGAATACAAGACCCTCATGTCGTTTTGCTTTCTAAACAATCACGGGGCCTGACAGAATAATATAATAATCCAAACTTAAAAATCGATCCAGTCGTTGGCTCGAAAAATTGTTATGTATCTTTTAGCAAATTGACATATTTTATTAGTTACAGTTCAGTATGTTTAGACCAAATGTTTCAAAACACTAAGGGGATCTCACTGAATAATTTGAGCTATCAAACTTAAAAATTGATCCTCACAATAACGCCTATTCATCCCTTTTTTCCCAGTCCGCTGGTGTTCCTCAAGGTAGTATCATAGGTCCTATCCTCTATACAGTTTATACAGCTGACATCCATACATGTCACAACACTGTCATCACCACATATGCCGATGACACATGTATCCTCTCAGTAAACAATGACCCAGCAATTACATCCCAAATGCTTCAATCACACATCATAAATCTAGAAGAATGGTGTCAAAACTGGAGAATTAAAATAAACTCCAATAAATCCCACCAAATTACCTTTACCCTTCGTCGTAGACCAACGACTTCCTGTCCTACAGTTTCCTTTAACAATACTCCACTTATCCCTGTTGAGCAAATCCGATACCTAGGACTCCACCTGGACAAAAAACTAACTTGGAATCCTCATACTAGACTGAAACAACAAGAAACCGCTCGACGTTTCCGATTACTTCAGCACTTACTAGACAAATGCTCTAAACTTCCCATGAATTACAAAAGACTCATATACTTGACAATAATAAGACCTATTTGGACTTACGGAGTTGAGCTATGGGACTCCACTAAACCATCGAATTTCTCTCGCATCCAATCCTTACAATCCAAAATCCTTCGTAAAATCCTCAATGCTCCTTACTTTGTCACTAATAAAATTATCCATAAAGATCTTAATGTTCCTTATGTTTCAGATCTGGCCCAATCCAGATACCTATCCTTCCATAATAAACTTAAGAATCATCCCAACCCTCTCGTTTCTAACCTTGCTTCCTCTTCAATTCCTGATAACCCTCCGAGGCGTCTGAAAAGAAGATGGCCCCGTGATCTCCTAATGTAGTCATATTATTAGAGTGCTACCATTAGGTAGTTACTCAGCAAGTGTATTCATGTCATTATATCTATTATGTCCAAATTTACTTGATGTATTTATGTAATACAGTTGTAAATGTCATAAAAAAAAAAAAAAAAAAAAAATTGATCCAGACATTTGCTCAAAAAAGCGTTGCATAGTTTAGTGGACGACCTAAACACAACCCTAATTCCGTTTCGCTTAGTTGGGTAATTATTCTTTAAATAGGCATTAGAAAATTATTGATAACATTTATCAGAGCATATCTTACTGAAGGATCTAGAGGTTGCTGGGACACATTCTTTTGCAAACAGAGATTTCCTTGTAGTGTGGAGGCCAACATAAGCATGTACTACTTCAAAACCAAGCAAATCTATAGCCAAAGCATACAGAAACAGCTTGCTAAAAAACAATGTCAATAATTAGTAACTAGCAGAACCATGTATGTGGGTGTATCATTCAACTTTTACCTAAAATCTTCCTTTGAGAGGAAATAAGGATTTACATATTTATCTAGAAATAATCTTGTACCTAAGTAAGTGAAAGTATAGATAATATATTCATTTAAAATAATTTTTTCATACCATATATTCTTCTCATGTCCAAACTGTTAAATTAATGCCTTTTACATCACCCTCCATTATCTTCTAAGTCAGTATAATTAAAACATAAATTTTCTGAAATCTTTATCTTTTTAAAGGTATATTATATATCTACTATACTATTTTAATTTTTAAAAATTTGTTTTCAACCAAAGAAAACACATCTCCCTTTTTCTTCCTTAATCATAAAAATTCTTTTATAATTTATAATTGTTAATATATTTTTACATATTCGCCAAATTATTTAGTTATTAATTAATTTTGTAAAATATTATTTATTGACTTATTGCAATGAATCTGGCATATGCAGTATTAGGTGTGGCAGCATTCAGTAGAACTCAGTTCAGGGCCATTTTGTTAGGCCACTTTGGTCATTCTAAGACTATCTCATAATTAACCATACAAATTCTTTCATTGTTTATATTTATCCATTTTCATTAATATGAGCAATATGAGATAGTTAACAATTTCAAATAAACAAAATTAAATGTACTTTAGGAGAAGAATTTTTAAAAATTTGGCATTCAACCTGTTATTCGACTATCTTAGTGCTTTTATATTATGAGCATAATCGTGAAAGCCGTTTTTGAGAAAAGAGAGAAATACTTTATTAAAAGTAATGCTGCCCTACTACATAGGCTTGCTTCGTACAAAGCATACTTATCAATCCATACGGACATTAATTTTATGTTACATTTTTCAATTTTTTTTATATATATACATGACACATCTTTGATTTCTTTTTTTTTCTTCCCTTTCATAGCAATACTCTCACAAATTATCAACAATAAACCATATTAAACAATAGACATAGCATAATAAACATTTCCCCAAGATAAAAACAAAAAAAAAAACTTCTTTTTCTCTTTAAATTCTCAAACGCCAGGAACTCAATACAACATCGCACATATTTCCTAACACAGCAATTTCTCAAATGTAGACAAAAATATAAGATGATTATTGACCAATTTAAAATTTAATAAACAAATAATACAAGACGTCCTCAATCAGTATATAGATGATAGTGGATGATCCCCAGGGAGTCCAAAATAATATTTTCAGCCAATATCGCTAGCTCCTCAACATCAACACCTAGTTCCTCGAGGAAGCTCCTTGTTCTTTCGATCGTGGATCGTTCCACGAGACCCAAACCAGAGGCCTCTCACGGTGAACTCTCTCTTTCCGAATGTCTCACGGAATTTCTGTTTTAGGAAAGGGATGCATTTTTCGTATATGTTCCTCTTTTCCCTTACCACCCGCCTGATCGAGGTCATTGCTCTCAAAGAGGACAGTTGGATCCAAGATTAGCACTGTCCCTCCTGTCCTGGGAAACGCGACAATATTTGCATATCTTGTAGAGCCTTCACTGTCTATGCAATAGACCTCGTCAAAGCAGGTGAATTCCTTTTCTCTAAGGAGCCTCATCACCTCGAACTTCACCCTATGGTGCCGGCGTGTTATGAGGAGGGAATTGTTGGGGTATTTTCCCAGCACATGGGCTGGTGTTTCCGACTCTCTGCCTCATTTACGACAGAGGAACCCAACCTCCTTTGACTGTCCACTGGCTCCTGGGACTCCATGTAAAGGTGCATAATTGATGTTTAGTTTTAAGGCGTTGGACCATTCCGACCCCGAAAGCACTTCTTTCTGGCATGTATTTATTGGCTTTGGGGGTCTCTTTAAAGTGTTGAACTCCAATGCCTTGCCACCTGCAGCTGGCCCATTCTTTGAAAGAGTTTTCTCTCAGCGACTGTCGTAGAGCTCTCACGCTTCGGTGGCACTGATCCACTCCCGAGGTCATTGCACTCCCAGTCTTTCCGCACATTCTGCGATTTCCGCATTATAATCAAATGTGGATTGGAACAGGGCATCCGATACATTAGACAGCCACTGGGTAATGGACCAATGCTGCAAAGGAGCCTCCCATTGACAGCGGATCAGTCCCAATTCACGAAACCTCCTCCGTGCATAGAACATCGCCGTTGATGCATTAGCAGAGAGCCCGATAATGGCCTTGATACTCCTGCGGATATTTGTATCGATTCCTTCCATTATCGCAGGACGTATCTTTGTGAGGGGCGCCGTCTGGAGAGGGTAAGTAAGACCCGGGAACACGTACTGGTTTACAACGTTGATCTTCTGTTCCGGCTTGAGAAGGCAAGAGCTAACCAATTTGTCCAAGTTGTTGTTTAATTTGGTCACCATTTCCTCATTTAATACTAGTTCTCCCGAGAACGCACATCCTAAATATTTTATAGTTTCACCAGGCTTTGTTGATGCTATAGCTTCTCCGTTCTCTAGGGAGAGCTTTGTTTGTTGTAGCTCTCCTTTCTCGACTATTAAGCCCACGCTTTCCACGATTTATTGCTAGACCAATCTCGGCAAGGCTCCTCTGCACACCATTGACAATCCTCTCTCCAGCACCCTTGTCACGTGCTGTAACAGATTGGTCATCCGCGAAGCCTGTGAGGACCACACATTCTTGGTAGCTGTTTAATTTATATCCACAGCCGTTGGAAAATTCTTGTTCACACAGGTCGCGTTATAGATGATCTATGGCCAGTTTGAACAATGAGGGCGACAAGGGTCCGCCTTGGGGTACTCCTCGCCGCACCCTGATCCAGCTAGTCGAGTGGGCTCTGATTCCAATCTTGATTTGGTTTGATCCCAGGAGAGCAGCAATTACGTTTTTCAGGTCCAGTGTGCTCCTGGTAGGCCTCTGATCAAGCCCCTCTGATTTTTGCTGAAGGTGATCTGTTTTCTCAGTTCATGGTCCAGAACCTTCTCAATAATCGACGCACAATCGAATAAATGGTAATGGGTCGCCATGATGATATGCTGTTGGCATTTCCTGTACCCTTGTAGACCAGGATTGTGCGCCCTTGACGTAAAGGCTCTGGTACATACGCCACCCTCAGCATGACCTCCGCTATGGTCTTTATGATATGTGATACATCAAAGAATTTAATCGTGTGGACTAAAACTCCGTCCAGCCCCGGTGATGTGTCCAATGACGTAGATTTCATCGCTTTTTTTTACTGCTTGGACATAGATGGATGTTAGATTTGGCGTCAGGGCGCAATTTTCATAATCCGCACGTTTGCAGAGATTTTCTTTCCCAAAGAGGCTTCTGAAGTGGCCTTCAGCTACCTTTAGAGGGCATTGTTTAGGAGCGTCGGCATTCATAATATTCAGCACTATTTTCTTTCTTGTATTATAATAATTATACTGGGCTACCTTATATTGATTATTATTATTCTTGCCAACGACTTCTATCTGCCTTGTTGGTCCTGAAAATTGCCCACTGCCTCGTCGAATTCCACATTATTCACATTATTTTGCCGAACAAATTTCTGGAAGGTAGCCAACCATTTTGCTATTTCTTTCTTTACTCCCTCTTCCTCATCCTCACCATTTTCCCCCCCTTCTTTATTATCAATCAAGCCCCTCATTCTAGTGTCATTTGCCTCCCTGGGATACTTCTTAGCTATATGGGTTCTGAGACCTCTATCACCCTTGAAACTCAGCCCACAAATGGGGCATACTTTGTCATTAACCTCTGAGGAAGGGTCTTCTTTCCTCACTTTTATTTCCCCACTAGGCTCTCCGGATGTCTGTGCTGTTTCAGGCAAACTAGGAAATACTTCATCAATTGATACTGTTTTGCCCAATGTTTGGCCATATTCACCCTGCCACTCCACCTTGATGAACTTTTTATAAGACATCACGGAGGCCACTACGGCTTCCTAGACTGTGCCTCCTGATCTCAGAACCCATGCTCTCTGACCTAGATCGACCCTCTTGGAATTATTTAGATTTGGGTCCATATCTTTTTTATAAAATATTCTTATAAGTTAAAAATAGATAAATTAATTAATTTTAAATAAATATATACACAGATAAAATATTGTTAATTATATATATATATATATATATATATATATATATATATATATATATATATATATATATATATATATATATATATATATGGATTTAAACAAAATTTCAAGAGGTTAAAATTAAATAAATTGATTAAAATTTATGCACAAATTAAATATCAGTAAGTAGAATTAAATAAAAGAATTTTTAAAAAATGTTTAAAAAATATATACATTGATAAAATAGTTTTAGTAAGTTAAAATAAATAGATTAAAAATATATATACAAATGAAATAATGTCAATGTGTTAAAATTAATTAAATAGAATAAAACTGTTTAAAAATGTATGCATAGGTTAAATAATGTCATTAGTTAAAATTTAATAGGTATATTAATAATATTTCAATATGCATACATATATAAAAAAAAAAAAAATGTTAAGAAGTTAAAATTACAATTAAATATAATAAATTAAATATAATAAAGAATTACATATATGTGTGCGTCAACATACCTTTCAAGCAAATAAGTCATAAAAGAAGATGGATTCCTCATGAGGAAAAAAAAACAAAAATATTTTCTATACCCAATTACTAGCATATATACATACATGCGGAATATAGTTATTACAATATTTATTATTTTCTACTATAAAAAGAAGCCAGGCTAGTGTGATGACAGACACCAGGTTGAAGTCGTCAGATTGGTGACAGCCGACAATGTTCTTGGTAGCCAGCTGGTGGAGCACGGTGGTGGGGAGATGCAAGTATATTTCTTACGGTAGATAAGGGCCAAGCCTGTGTTATGAGCAGCTTCCTTTACCCTCGATTAATTCCGAAGATACTCGATAGATTTTCTTTGAATTTCGTACCACCCTCACAATGCCTTCCAATGACATTCGTGACAATTTGGACTCAAACGGATGAGAAAAACCACATCAGAGGAGAGTACAACATAGACCCGATGTTGCTCCGTCATAGGCTCAAGCCTAACTAAAAAAAAGAAAAAAAAAAAGTGCAAAACTGATTCTATCTAGTGCCATTTCCAATAAGTTGACTATACCAAAAAAGAAGTTGCTGAAACATCCACAAGTTATACCAACCCTAATTCAAAAATTTCAATTTCATACAAATTTACATTTACATATGCACATACACAAACCATTAAGGGAGACTTGGATTAAAGGGAACTCAAAAAAGTATATTTCTGTTGAAAATTTAGATTCAAATTTTTTTTCATTATCCCAATATATTCTCTTACTAGGTTTATAATTCAAATATAGTTAAGTAAAAATGAAAAAAAAAAATCGCGAGAAAGTGACAAAAACCACTTATTTAAAGAAAAGGGAAATGTAGGGAAAATTTATCCTCATACCCAAATTTCCTAATGCAATATAAAAAAAAATTACTATCGTGACCAGCACTAGCGAATTCTGCCAGGAGGGGGCCCCTCCCTTGGATAGTGAAAAAAAATCCAAAAAAACACCTCTCTAACGAAAAGATAAATATAGGAAAAATTTATCATCATAGACGAATTTTGTAATGTAATTTTAAAAAAATTTATTTTCCTGACCAGCACTAGTGATTTCTGCTAGAGGGAGAATTTCTATAAATTCTCTAATTTTTTTTCCAGGCTTTCTCTGTCTCCTTTAGAAGAATTTCCTTTACTTTCTTCCTCTGCACCTTATACCTTTCATAACTTTCCTGATTCTTCTCCCCCAAGTAGCTTCTCAAAAAGCGTTTCATTAATCTCGCCTCTTCCTTCAAAATCCATTTAGTCTTTTTTTTCCTTCCACTGCCGCACTTCACCTCCCCACAAACTACTTTTGCTGCACTCAGGATCACTACCTTAAAGTTCGTCCATGCTTCTTCCAACTCATCAATGTATTGGCACGAGGTCAGCCTTTGATTACTATTCCTTCTTCCACCTTTTTGATTACTATACTGCCTCTTAATTTCCAAATATTTAATCTAAAACTCTCTCTGATAAATCATAGTTGCCTGTTTTAGTAAAATATTTTTCAACCCGGAAGGACTCACCATTCATTACTTAAAACATTTTCCTATCCCTTCCTCTTAGATGGCATTGTTTAAAAGCCTTGAATAGCACAAAAAGAGACAAATTATGGTAAAAAAAATAAATATATTATAAAAATAATAAGGTACTTTAGTCCAAGAAAATTTTGTAAATTATATGTGAAAAAATAATAAAAGAAAATTAAAATACACTTAAATTATTGATAAAGGGCTAATGTATTATACCGTTGCTAATCCTTTACCTGATGGCCATGAGTGGAAAAGGTTCTAAGTTGTCAGAATGAGTGAGATAAACCTGGCCCTCTATGGAACAGAAGCCCAACTGCCACAGATTTTTGTCAATTTTTTTGAGGTGTGGCACTGCTTCATACACCTGAAAAGAAAATTATTTTATTACTTTCACTTACATATATATAGTAAGGGTAAGTATTGCGATCGTGAAAATTTTTTAACATGAGTTTTCAACGGAAATACATATTTTGGGTTATCTTGAATCCAAATAACTAAGTCCTAAAAAATGGTCTGTGTGTCTGTATGTTAGCAATCTAGCTCAAAAACAAAAACTCATACGAAACTGATATTACGTATTTAAGATAGGTATATGCCTTAGATGTGACAGCAACTTTTTCCTTAAAATTGGCTAACCAGAAGTGCCACTTTATATCAATGGTGAAACACATTTTTATGATTTTCTCAAAAACGGCTTTAATGATTTTGATTAAACTCGGTGTATCATTGTATAATTAAGTGTTTTTTAATATCATTTAGGGTTTATCCCCGTTGATGTCACTTAACAGGGCTTAAATGCCCAATGTTCATATACGTCTTCCTCTAAAGTACCTTTAATATGGTTTATTTTATATAATTAACTATCTCTCATAATTAGAAGTTACGAAAAAATGCTAAATATAACTTTTGAAACAATTTGATAATTGAATAAAGGATAAGAAAATAAAAATGCTTATACTTTTTTAGCTTTAGCTTAGTTAAAAATGCAATTCAAAAATGTTATAATAGCCCAACATGGATAGAAAATAATTTCCATTCAAAGTTGAGCGATAAATGAAATTTGTGTGTTGCGAGCACCAGATTTTATCTAATAAAATCATTTAAAATTAATTTTACTTAAACCACTTACCGGCTAAAATCTTAAAGTTTAAAAAGGGACATAATTACCTAGATCCTAAAAATATACTTTTATATTCTAAACTATTTTCTCATTTTTTAATAATTGAATGTTATATTCTTTAATGGTTATAGTAATAAAAATATGCGGAAAAAGAAACTAGGAAATTTTAAAAAGGAGTAAGAAATGCAAGGACCGGTTTCAAACTGCATCTAGACTATTGTAAAGATAAAAAACGAAACTTGCTGGGATCGAGAAAAGACATTAAATTTATGGACGGAATACTTTTCCAAAGTATTAAATCAAGGAAACATAGAACTGAGTAATGAAGAGGAAATGCATAGAAATAAGAAAACATATGTGAGGAAGAGGAAATACCGCCGGAAAAAGAAGAAATAGAGGAAATAATTATGTCTTTAAAAAACAACAAATCACCGGGTGTGGATGAAATACCAGCAGAGTTACTAAAGAATGGAGGAGAAGAATTAACTAAGCAGCTCTACAACCTCATATATATGATTTGGATGCAGGAAACCATGCCTGAAGAATGGAACACTGCAGTTTTATGTCCTATTTTTAAAAAGGGGAACAATTTGAACTGCGATAACTGCAGAGGAATAGCACTAATGCCAACTGTATATAAAGTCCTTTTCATTGCTATTAGTAAGAGACTAGCGTCATGGGGAGAAAGAATCTACGGAGACTATCAATGTGGTTTCAGAAAAAATAGGTCAACAGTGGATCACATCTTTGCTATAAGACAAATGCTAGAGAAAACATATGAGCATAACGTGGATCTGCACCATGCCTTTATAGATTTCAAGCAGGCGTATGATTCTATTGACAGAAAGCTATGAGGATGCTCAGAATTCCCGAAAAATTGATAGCCTTGACAGAGATGACGCTAAGAGATACCAAATGTAAGGACAAGATTCAAAACATCCTCTCAAACAGCATTCAGCTAAAACAGGGCTTGAAGCAGGGAGACCCTATATCACCAATCCTCTTTAATCTAGCCCTGGAGCGGGTTGTTAGAGCAATAAGGACCAATCCTGGAGGGACTATATTCAATCGACTTACTCAATGTCTTGCATACGCGGAGGATATTCTTATCAGCACTCGCACATTGTTGGCCCTTGCGGGATCTATCGAAGAATTCGATGTGACAGCAATGCAACTTGGCCTGAGGATAAACAAAGGGAAAAGACTTTACATGAAGTCCTCAAGAAACAATGTAGCTATGCATGAATATGTTTAAATTAATCAGCACCTCTTTCCAATGGGAACAGAATTCAAATACCTTGGAGTAATAGTCACTGACCAGAACAAAATGCAGGCCGAAATAAAGGCCAGAATTACAGCTGGCAATAAGTGTTTTATTGCCCTGGCAAAAATACTGAAATCCAAGGAACTGAGCTGGAATACAAAAGTAACAATTTATAAAACCATTATAAGGACAGTCGTTACCTACAGGTGTGAAAATGGGTTCCGACACAGGAAAGTGAGAGGTTGCTGATAATATGGGAGAGAAAAGTCCTAAGGAAAATATACGGTCCGAAGAAAATAAATGATCAGTGGCGAATACGGAAAAATGACGAGCTCTATGAGTTGCTTAAAAATGATGATATTGTAGCCACTGTCAAAAGGAGCCGGCTCAGATGGCTAGGCCATGTAGAGAGAATGGAGGAGAATAGGTTGCCTAGAAAACTTCTCTATAACCGCCAGGGAGGAGCACGTCTTAGGAGAAGAGCCCGGCTGCGGTGGGTCAACGACATGGAGGAGGACCTCAGCCGCATGGGTATCAGAAGATGGAGAAGAATAGCTGGCGATAGGGAAGCCTGGCGGAAGTTTGTTTCTGACGCCCAGGCTCATTAAGGACCGTAGAGCAAATTAATAACAATAATAAAGATATATAATTTTCAATTGCTAAAGGAAAAATTAAAAAAAAACTTTTGTTATTTTATAATTTACTTTAGTCGAAAAGAATAGTATGTAGAGTGGAAATAAAACAACAAAAAAAACTTAATCTATGACTGTATTGTTTTTTCATTCGTGTTTAAAAACCAAATATTTCATCGAGAAACACATTTGAAATAAATACCGAAGATCCTTGTTAACTCAGTGCTTGTGCTATATTTCGATTAAAAGACTGTCATCCCAACTGCCAAAGAGCACATCTGGTCTTCTATAAAAGGACCAAAACATACATTAATATTAATATCATAGAGTCATTCAATTCGTGACCATAAAAAACATACCATACAACAATTTTCGAAGGCTGAATAGGAGCTGAATTAGAGCATTGTTTGAGTAACATGGAAAATTTATATCAAAATTGAAGAAAGTTCCACTAGGTAATTCTTTTTTTTATACGTGACATAAACCGTTCTTATAATGACATTTAAGGTTATCACTGTACACTAATGGCTGTGAATGTAATCATAGAGAGAAAGATAATGTTTATTTTTATTTGTATGCTTCCAGTGATCCATATTAAAAAAATAAAAATGAAGTCAGATGTTTTTACTATCAAAGTATTTAAAAAAAACATACCTCACCCGAATCATCAAGTTTGCAAGATTCAAACAAAAATAAAATTTCTGTCTCAAATAATTTGAATTGAGGAATGATCAGATGATCCTTAAAAATTGTCATAAGAAAAGACCTAGTAGCCATTATGAACCTGTAATTTCAAATGTTATCATTATTAAAATAAATTTACTTCAAAAGCTAAGTAATTATATGAAAACCAGAAAAATACAAATTATATTATGAGATATTATGTTACAGAATATTTAATAAGAAAACAACATAAATTATGTTCTGAGATACGGTATTATAGAATATTTACTAAAAACATTCATCTGTATCAATGCTATATCTTTGGTTATCAGAAACTATTATGTTAAACTGCATCCATGGTCAGGGATTACAAAAGTCAGTTAAGAGTTCATTTACCATTGAAGGTTCTGCAAGAAACAATTGAACCAAGTCTAATCCAGTACCAGTCTCACACATCGGCATCCCCTATCAATGACCCCATTTACCCTTTAAAAACAAACATTATTTCTTAAGCTGTTTTATATTATGTAATATTTGAATTTTTTCATTCAATATTTCTCTAAAACAGTTGCTTCATTAGTAGGCTAAAATTAATTCTTTTAATATATTTTTTGATGCCTAACAAGTGTCAAGTACCCCTGAACATTGGCGCCCCCAACCGCTGCCCAACTCTGGGGTAATTGCCCATCCCCAAGGCCGGCATTGGTTTAATCAATATTGGTTCAATAGCAGGAAATTGTTAATGATCTTCTCAAGTGACATGGTCTGGTATCCTCAACACCTTCCGTCAGCCATTTACAGCTAATGCCACTTTGCAACCCAAGTTCTGTCAATACTAACTTCATTAAAACGTTCATAAATCTCCATGTTAATTCTTTTTTTCTACAGAACTGACCATCACTTACATGACCAATGTAATGCATCCTGTGCAGAACCTTTTTCTTGAAGATATGGTGGTTTTACTCATTGTAATTGGATGAGGTTTAAGTTAGGGATGAATGATTTAAAAACAAATAAGTGCTCTATAAAGTACAAATCTGCTTCATGTATACACAAGGAGGGCAAGCCAACTACAATTTCTTTTTCTTTAAATATAACCAGATTCTTTGAGTTGTTTGACTCTAATAAAAAATATAACTAAATTTGCATCTAAAATAAGAAATAACAGCATTGTATGTTTTGAAAATCAAACCTTTTAAACTGTTCTGGTGTTAATGATATAGAAGCTGGGCTTAGTAAGTTGGAATATTTGGGCAGTTCTTTGCAGGACTCCTTGAGCCTCTCATCAAGAAATACACGAATACCTTTATCACTAATATCCTACAACAAAAAAGATAAAACTGAATAAATTATCATTCTGATATATAAATTCATAAATATATATATAATATGAACCTAGGAACACAGATACATGAAGTTATTTTAGCTCAATTGTCAACCTTATGATTTCTAGTAATAGTTAACCATTTGATATTCAGTGATACCATCAAAGTATTAATTGGTAGGCAGGTAAAATCTTTGCAAAACCTCTTTGATTTAATTATTTTTTTCTGATAATAGAACTTAGTCCCAAGAGCAAAAATAGCAATTAATTTGGAAATTAAACATAAAGCAATGTTTTTAAAAAAACTAGCAGTGAAACTCAACTTAATTTATATGTATTTAATAAACTTATTAAACAAGGTGTTTTCCGGAAAATGGGACCTAGTTTAAGGCTCATAAAAAAAAGAGTCATAAATAATTCATGATTTTATGAAAACAGAACTATATTCCTGAACTATGATCATATGGAGTGAGAGACTCTCACTCCATAGGATCATAGTAAAATATTGTCTTAACCTAACTCTCACTGAGAGTTAGGTTAAGACAATATTTTTATGCAGTCATAAAATTTTAGGTTTTATTATTGTTGCTGCCCTTACTTAGATTTCTCGTAATTTTTAGTAAATTTAAATTAATTTTTACTCAGACTTTGTAACAAAAAAAGTCTTATTTGTGATTGTCTTTATTTCTACTGAAGTTCAACCAGTTCGTCATAGTATCGATTTTCTCCTTAAATATCAAAGTTGTGTGCACTTCATGGATACTTTTGAACGCCAAACATCATCAATGGGACTCTAGAACCACGAATTCTCAGGGTAGAACATTGCTGTCTGCACTCAATTCCCAACGTTTCACGAATTCCTTAATTCACCCACCCCACTCTCCTTACCGCCCAAAGCAGTTAATCCTTCTGAGCTCAAATATCACTTACAAAAACTCTCTACCAGTAAATCGCTTGGATACGACCTACTTACCTCTCAGACCCTTAGACAACTCCCTCAAATACATATACAATAGCATCCTATGAACCACCCACTTTCCTCTTTTATGAAAACATTCTACTATTATTCTATTTCCAAAACCAGACAAACCTCCCAGCATTTTAACTTCCTAAAGATATAGCCTACTTCCTTGAAAGTTTGTCAAACAAAAATCCTTGAAAAGATCCTCCTGAATGAATCCTACCCTTTATAGAATCTCAAAATCTCCCTTCACATCATTTTGGATTCCGTTCGAAACACTCCACAGTCTAACAAGGACTTCGACTGATCCATCAAATTTCCATAGCCCTGGAAAGCAAGCAATATTAGTCGGGTGCGTTTATGGACATATCTCAAGCTTTTGACCGGTTATGGAACCCCAGGCCTCTTTTCGAACTTAAAACACATCTGCCTCAGCGGCACTGAATTTTCGAATTGAAGCTGGTGTTTTTCAAGGTAGCGCATTGGATCTTGTCCTTTACAACCCGTCCTCTTTACCGCCAATATCTCTGTCCATCCCGATACCTTCCTCACAACATTTTATGATGACACCAACATTCTATCATCCGACTCAGATCCCGAAAAAGATTCCTTAAGCCAGCAAAAGCACCTCTCCCTGATTAAGCACTGGTTTAATAAAGTAAATTAATCCAAATGCCAACACATTACCTTCACACTCCGAAGTAGTTCCTGTCCACCAGTACAGCTTAATTCCATTCAGCTTCTTTTCTCAGACACTGTCCGATATCTTGGGCTTTCTCATAGACAGACGATTAACGTGGAAATTAATAATCAGACTTAAAAGACAGGAACTTAACCGAAGATACGGCCAAATATACAGACTACTAAATAGAAAATCTAAACATTCAATTGAAAATAAAGTACTTATCGGAAAGAAAATACTGAAACCTATTTGGACTTAGGGATTTGAACTATGGGGAACAGCAAAATTTTATAACATCAAACGCATCCAATCCTTCCAGTCCAAAGTCCTTCGAACAATGGTCGATGCTCCTTTCTATGTAACCAACAAAACCCTACACCATGACCTTAATATCCCATTTGTCATAGACCTTATCCTAGAACAATTCCCCAAATTTTACCAGAACCTTACCTATCATCCGAATCCCCTTGCACAACTCCTATCCAGCACCACTCATCACTATAATCCTCCAAGAAGGTAAAAAAGGCAGTAGCCCCGCGACCTGTTATAGTTTGTAAATATTGGAGTTCTGGCAATGGCCAGATTCTCCACTCAGGACATGAGTGTATGTGGCTAAAGCACTCTCGCTCAATCTCCATTGGGCTTAGCCCCAGTGACGCGGTTGAGAGATTAGTGCAGGAATCTCCTGGAGTCATACAAGTCTGGCTCAGAGTTCCCTCACCTGATTGTAAGTAGTGTATGTAGGTATGTATGTGTTCTTTTGTATTTACTTTTAGGTTATTTCATTCTTATTTATATATATATATATATATATATATATATATATATATATATATATATATATATATATATATATATATATATACATTATTTTTCTGTATAATTTATTGTACACAGAGGGTGAATGTGATCTCTTAACACTATTATAAATGTCCTTGGAGACAAATTGTAATATTTTTCAATAAAGAAGTTTAAAAAAGAATGAAATACTTACGCAGAGTGATATACAAAACCCGCAGAAATAGGATCAGGAATGAAACTATAAGAGAAGAACTAAACATACCTGCAATGAAGGAGGCCCTGGAGAAGAAACAGTTAGGCTGGTACGAGCATATGTGCAAAATGAGCCCTGATTGTGACACATGCAAATTTATGGAGGCGAGACCGGTAGGCACTAAACCTAGAGGACGTCCAAGACTCAGCTATAATGGCTACGTTCCAAGATGGGAAAAGCGAGAGGACAAATACTGCAGGAGATGAAGACTCTTGCAAGAGACAGAGCTAGACTGAGATCCTGGGTTGGATCAACTTAACTCAACGCTGAAAGGTACAAGGAGAAATATTACAATTTCTTTGAACCAATTTTAAAAGTGCTGATCAATAAACTAGGTGGTATTGGAATAAAAGGAATCAAGTAGCCAGTATTTTTCTTTAGGCCGCTGGTAAGGTTTGCATCATGTAACAAAAAAATCGAGTATCCGAAAGTGATGGTCTGACAAAAGACTGAAAAATAAATTATTATACTGTATAAAATATATATATATATATATATATATATATATATATATATATAAATAAAGTATAATATATAGAAATGATATATGAAAACTTCTAAAGAGTCACATACGAAATAAGTTAATGGAATATATAGCATAGAAAGGGTAGAATATATTTTTTTAAACATTTTTAGTTATTTATCATTTAATGGTAAAAAAATATCCGAGACATTAAATGACCCAACTAGAATATCAAGTGATAAATTAGATAATAAAATGCATTAATATTCGTGTAAAATAATGAATGACTATGGTCATTACTGTAAAGACAGGACCAAAAGGGACGACTAACTGTGTCTTATCAATCTTCACTTTGTACAGCTCCATCAGAGTGGCGAAGTCCCGGTCAGCTTCTATCTTCGATGGGCTCCTCATGCTTGCTTTTCTACTGTAAAAGTAATCAAATGAATTTTCAAATTTATTGCATTTTTTTAATTACCGGTGTGTAACTTTTTTTTTAGGATTTAATTTTATATTATGAAAACAATGAATTTGCGAGTAATAAACATTTATATACCTTAAGATGAGGTAACTTTGCTACTGGATGGGTAACTTTGGGACAGCGGGTAAAATTTTGTATGTGGTGATTCCGTGGTGGATACACTGTGGTGTATGTACGAGCATGCACTGCGCTACTACCTTGCGCACACCACTCACTCTGGAGGCAGAAGCGGAGGTTTTATAAAAAAAAAAAAATAATTTTAAAAAAGCAATGATCACCTTTACCCTTTGTCGTAAACCTATGTTCTCTTGTCCTACAGTATCCTTTAATAATACCCCACTTATCCCTGTTGAACAAATTCGATACCTTGGGCTCCAGTTAGACAAACGTCTAACTTGGAATCCTCATACCAGACTGAAACGACAAGAAACAGCTCGACGTTTCCGACTACTCCAGCACTTACTAGACAAACGCTCTAAGCTCCCAGTCAATTACAAAAGACTCTTATACATGACTACAATAAGACCTATTTGGACTTACGGAATTGAGCTCTGGGGTTCCACTAAGCCATCGAATTCCTCTCGCATCCAATCCTTACAATCCAAAAACCTTCGTAAAATCCTCACAGCTCCTTACTTTGTCACAAACAAAATCATCCATAACGACCTTAATGTTCCTTATGTTTCTAGCCTGGCCCAATCCAGATACCTTTCCTTCCATAACAAACTTCAGGACCATCCTAACCCTCTCGTTTCTAACCTTGCTCCCTTTTCGATCCCTGACAACCCTCCGAGGCGTCTGAAAAGAAGATGGCCTCGAGATCTCCTTTTGTAAATACATTTTTAGAGTGCTACCAGTGGGTAGTTTCTCAACAAATGATTTCATGCTATTATATTCTTTTGTTCACATTTACTAAATGTATTTTTACTTGTAATACAGTTGTAAATATCATCAATAAATAAAAAAAAAAAAAAAAAAAAAAAAAACAATGAAAATAAATAAAACCTAACTGCACTACGAATGTAGAGAACTAGGGTTCTCAAACCGCCGCAAGATTGTAAAACAGTACATGCCTGCACAAAGCATCTTTTAGCTGACCGAACCAACACAGTGTATCCACCACAGAATCACCACAAACTAAATTTTACCCGCTGTCCCAAAATTACTCCATCTTACTGTGTAAATAATATGTAATTAAATAAAAAAAATGTAAATATATATAAAGAGTTAGAGAAATGCCATTTTTTAATTGATTTGAGTTGGTGTTAGATAAATGTTATTTAGGGGTAATAACTTTTTATCCCACCCCACGATTTTTTCATGACCTCTTGCACTTCTTTAGCTACTCCTTATTGAATTAGAACGTTACACATTTGTACGTGAGTTTAGTTTTTTTTCTTTGCCACCCTTGCATATTCAACTTTTTTACAATTGAACATTGCTCAGAAACAGTTCCACATATAAAGAACCAAATTCACCTGAAGATATCCGGATAGTCAAAATAAAGAAAATTAAAGATTAACATCAGCAAAGATTTTTGAGTCTTAAGTATTTTCGCAAGAGTCTTGCAGCTACTTGTTAGCTGGTAGCTATTTATTAAACATCTTACTATAGATCTTAGAAAAACGCTATAGAATAAGTACATTTAGATGTTTCAGTGACATAAAAATAGTAAAGTCCAACCAAATTAATAAAATTAACTTGGCAATATATTAAAGGCATTGCGAAGAAATATAGTGCCCCCCACTTTGGAATGAATGAGTAGTAAAGTGAAGACAATCCATACAGTGCACTAATTATTTAAATAAAAAATCTAGCGTATCCATTAACATACCTTTCCTACCTATTTTAAACAATTTGTGATATATAAATTGAAAATAACAATATTGTATTAAATTAATTTTCCTGATAACCGATCATAGAAATCATTAGAGTACGATTTCTTTGATGTACTAAAGAAATGCAAACGGGCAAGTTAACAATTATTAAAATCAGTGTATAAAATTCAATACATGTAACGTTGCTAAAACTGGGCCGTTTGGACGATATTTTATAGTTTTGTCGGAAACATAATAACCTTTTAAAAATGTTACCAACACATATGGGCGATATTAGTATAATTTTTCAGAATGGAGAAGCCTAATTAAAAGCCGAATGAAAAATTGGAAGAGTTAAATGCAAAATTCTTACCAAAAATATTGGTATTCTTACCAAAAATACCAGGTTCGCTCACTCAGAGGTAAAATGGCGGGGAGGAATCGAGCTCTGACATAACCACTAGACCGATAATACCCCTCCGGCCCTTGTATCTGGACGTTTTAAGAATATTATTTACCTTTATACATGAAACCAATACGTTAATATATAATAGACTATTAATTTATTAATATTAATAAATTTTAAAAAGTGAGAGAAAGGTTCATTTGCTATTTTGTTTATTTTAAAACAAATAAAATGTAATTTTAGAAGTTAATGTATGTTTTTTTTTTCAGAAATTCAAAATACCACATTTTTTTAAATATTTGAAATAAATATAAAACATAATGTGAAATGATAGAACTACTTTTCTTTTAAAAAAAAATATTTAATCCAAAACTAAAGAAGCACGTTTTCTTTCTACGAATGTATGTAAATTTGACATTTTTTTTCATAAGTAATCATAATATTAACCCTTCAGTCAAAAAAATAAAAATAAAAGTTAAATAAAGTATCATCCACCTACCCAAACATATTGCCATTTTACCTTCTTTTTTTTTAAATTGGGAAAGGGGGTAAATCCCCCTTCAAAAAAATATATATTAATTTTATTTATTTATTTGGTAGTTCATACATAGTTAAAACATTGTTCAAAATAACAAAACTCCAGGAACTTTTTCAATTTGGTGCTACCTTCACCATCCTAACATCCATTATATACAAACTATCCAAACATATCCCTATCCAAACATATTGCCAAGAGGGCCACCAGAAATTTGGTATCGCCCAGTGATTTTCAAGATTCGTATACATGGTTTAACATTGCTCAATATAGCCCTTACAAGTGCAATAATATTGGCATTGTTTCAATAATATTAAAGGAGCTTCAAAAAAAAAAAAAAAAAAAAAATGTATATCAACCATTTTAGTTGACGTCAATATAATTGATTCCAATGTAGCCCTTACACGGTCAATATACTGACGAAACTCAATATTGACCGAGTAAGATTTCTTAATTGGTGCAATATAAAATATAAAATGATAGGGAAGAAAAAATTATCAGGATTTGCAGTAACAATTTGTATATTTTTAATTTTTTTATTTAATTTTGCAGATTATGCAGACCGATTTTGGGCTAAATTATACCTTTATTTTAAATAAACTAAACTTGAGGAGAATGATGCCCCAATAACGCAAACGTTTTCTTGTGCGCCTATTATTCCAGACTTCTCCTAAACAATACCACTATACTAATACTTACCCTCAAGATACTTAATCACACAAACTTTTTCAAATTACCTCGTAAGTAATTACAAATTTTCAGAGACAGTACGTGAGGAGTAGTGTTGCCCAAGTGCGAGACCCAGACGAGTCTTGGTCTTGCAAACTCAGTTTGGTCATGGTCTTGGTCTTGCACAAGAGTCTCGCAACAGTCTTACAGTACTGTATTTTGTAGATAGGAGAAACCTAACTAAGCCTGAATGAAAAATTAAAGGAATTAAATGCAAAACTATATTGGTTATACCAATTATTTCCATATAGTAACTAAGATTGTCGAATATTAGTAACTATTTTGCCTTAATTTTTTATTAAAAACATCGATTTTTTTTACCAGTCCCTGGTCTTGGTCTTGCAACAGTTAGGCGGGCTTGGTCTTGGTATTGCAAAGTGCAAGACCAAGACCGAGTTTGGGCAACACTAGTGAAGAGTGACTAAGAAGGATGTATTATCACTGCAGTGGATTAAGAAGTCAGCGAAAATCATGACGAGGAAAAAGGTGTTCGGCAAAGTGAAATAAATTACAAATGGGGAGAAAGGGAAAGAAAACGGAAGTTAAAGTATTTTTTTTATTTCTTTATTGAATATTACAACAATCTATCTCTTGCACATTGGTTATAGTGAGGTAGGATGACATTCACACTATATGTACAAAAAAAAAAAATATAAATAGAAACAAAATAATAATAAAAAGTATATACAATAGATAATCAAATAAAATAACCTAAAAAATAAGAAAAGCTAATATAATAAACTTAAAAATATCTATTGATAAAAATTTAATTATTTGTCATACTAAAATAGGGAACTCCGCCATTAAACGAATATACCTTTGATAGTGGAAACTTGTGAGATCTTAATAAAAAAACCTGACAATTCTTTGGGGTTGTTCGTATTAGTAAGGTATTAAAGTAGAAATAGTTTTAATTATCCATAAATTATTGTTATATATATATATATATATATATATATATATATATATATATATATATATATATATATATATATATATATATATATAAGTTGAAAAATTATCCTTGTATATCCGTCTTTGCATTGTTCCCTCTCCCACCCACTGGAGCTTTGCTACCTAATGCGCCGTATCGGTTTCATTGGCTTTAACTAAGCCTCTGATTTTGAAATTAAACGAAATAGAATTTAATTTTCGTACATCCGCATCTCACTAAAAGAGTTCCACTACATAAAAGTACAAAAGCTTCTTTGTACTATGTTAAACTTTATATGCTGTATATCAAGGTTTCATCATCTTAGCCATTTACCCCTCACGTCAAGAAAGGACAAAGCCTTAACGACTGCAGACAGTGTGTCGGTTCCGGGCGGGCGGTTTGAAGACTATCTCCTTCCCTCCTCTGCCAAACTGTCACATTGGATATCTTCCTTCCGATACCCCCGCCCGGAACAATATCAATAACAAACTCTTTTGTCATATGTCCAACAAACCATTACTGGTT